AATGTGCTGCTACAACAAAGAAAGCCAACAGGGTGCTGGGGAACATCAACAAGGGCATCACCAGCAGAGATAAAGATGTCATTGCCCCACTATACTCCGCTCTTGCCAGGCCACACCTGGAATACTGTGTTCAGTTTTGGTTCCTGCTATACAAAAAAGATGTGGATGGGCTGGAGATGATCTAGAGAAGGGCCACAGAGATGGTCAAAAGACTGGAAAGCCATACATGTGAGTAAAGGCTGAGAGAACTGGATTTGTGTCACTGTGTTCCAGTATTTAAAAGATGTTTACAAAGAAGATGGAGACTCGCTTTTTACAAGGACTCATGGAAAAGACAGGGATAATGTCTTATTAATAATAGAATGTATCTCACAGGTTACTCCTGGTGAGATTCTAATTGGACACAGTAGGAAAATTTTTCACCATGAGAACAGTCAGCCACTGGAATAATCTCCCCAGGGAAGTGGTGGATTCCCCAGCACTGGACACTGTTAAGATTCAGCTGGACAGGGTGCTGGGAATCTTTTCTCGGTCATGCTTTGCCTAGAAAGGTTGCACCAGATGATCCATGAGGTCCCTTCCAACTTGGTGTTCTGTGAGTCTATGATCCATACCAGTGACTGATGCAGCCTGCACAGCTTCACATTATTCAGGGCAGTAACTGGGTTTAGAGCTGCTCAGCATAAGAGATCTATTAAAATCAAACCAAACTCCAAATCTATTTATAAAGACATGAGCTAGCACCAGTACAGGTGCTGTGGGAGTGACAGGTTGTAGCTGCTACAGATCCTTTGGACCAGGGAAAGTTACTGCACACTAAGCAGACCCAGAGGTCCTCTGGCTTGCTCTGCTGTATTCTCATAGTTTGGCTGATGAAACTATGGAGCATTTAGTTCCTAAAATAGCACTACACATGACAGAATGCAGAGGTACTAAATCCAGTCCTGAAAGCAGTATGAGCACACTGAGGAGGCATTATGCTAGGTGTTAAAGACCTGATGTTTGGCTGATGTGGTAAATTCAGTCTAGAAAGCAGCTGCTTTGACCTCAGAGTGCTGCTGGATCATGGAGAAGGGACACCACATTCCTTCTTCAGCTGCTACAACTTTGATCACAAAAATCATCAGCATTCGGACCTCCTCAGAAGCTGTGTTTCTTGACTGACATGATGTCCCAGAGTGTGTGGCTCTCTGAAGGCCTGACACATCATGTTATTTCTCATTCTACCAAACAGATGCAAAGTGAACTTTTTTCCCCCTAGACACCCCAGGTTTCCGCTTTCCTTTGGGAGGAAATGTTTAACCACATCTGTGAAAGTCCTCTTTGGTTCTGTTGGCACGTAGAGCTTGGGTATTGTAAATGTTTTTCCTCTCACTACGTCATTTCAGTTTGAACAAGTGGCCTTGCTGTACAGTAATTTCATAGAGTAATAGCTTCATAGAATCACAGCCTGGTTTGGCTGTGAAGGGACAGCCAAAGCTGTCCCTGTGAAGGGACCTTAAAGCTCATCCAGTTACAGCCCCCTGCCATGGGCAGGGACACCTTCCACTAGACAAGGTTGCTCCAAAGCTCCAAAGGGTATCTCCCAGGGCTGCAGGACTCTTTCTGTTCACAAACCACCTTCACGGTCCAGAGAGTGACAAGGAAACTACTGATTATTCCTTCCCTTCATTTGCTAAATTGAATAATGAACATGTGTCTGATAATGGAGAGCAGAACTTGTAGATATTGGTCTGCCAGTGATAAATTACACTCTCAAAGAGTGAAAGCTTTTAGCCTGACTCTAACACCCTCTCTGGAAGATTGTGTGGGATATAAAATCTAGCCTGATATTGAATCTATTCTTAATAGTACTGATCATTATTTTATCATGTTTACAGGTAGTTTTCAAATTTTCCAAGCATGAAGATCAAAGGCTGCATTTAGTACGCCAAGACAAGACTCTGTCTTGGATGTATTAAGCAGGGCGTTATCTCTCACCAAGCCTTTTCTGTGTAGTTCTGAAAAACAATCATCCGCCTTCCCCATTCATTCTGATCATGACTAAGCTGAAGAGAACTCTGTGATGTTACTATCTTGGTAAATTTAGTTGCTTCCAGTAGATGGCATTACAAGTGCAGTCCTGATGGAGGTTGGTTCCTATCCCTACTTTGGCTGCAAGAACAATCCCTCTTTTACTGTGTGCACAGAAGTGGAGTTTTTTTCCTCCAAGCACTCAAAGTAAATGGGTTTAAAACACTCGTATTCTTTTCATTTCCTACCCAATAAAAGATTTTATTTCCTTGTAGACGAAGCCTTTACTGACACAGTTTAGTGGTGAACTTGGCAGTGCTGGGGGAACGGCTGGACTTGATGAACTTGAAGGTCTTTTCCAACCTCTTGGATTTTATAATTCTATGAATTTTCAATGTGCATAGCCCAACAATCACTTTATTTTAGAAAATTTGTCCAGACACTGAGTGCTTTGGGTTGAATTCACAAATACGCAAAGCGCTGGGCGCTGCTCTTTCATGTATGAGATTTCTTCCTGCAAATTATGTATCTGGGCTTTCTGTATGGCAGAGGGGAGTAATCAGTCAGTTCATACCATCTTCACAGCAGCTAGCAGGCAAAGGAGAAATGAATTACAAGAAGCAGTTGGTTATTTTAACTGATTAATTACATTTCTAATATATTTGCAAGGTTTTAAGTGCATTCTTTGTACAGTCTCAAAAATGCAAAAATATTGTTGAGGGATATGCTGGCATAAAAAGCCTGAAGCCAAATATGAAGGTAACTGCTTTTACTGCTGATGTCAAAGCCAGTTCTGATCAAAGTGTGTTAACCCACTGAGTGCATTTGGGCACAGCATAAGGGGACACCACAGCCCCTCCACATGGATCCCCAAAAGCCATTCTTTGAAGGGCTTTACTTGAAGCCAACTCATACTATTCAGTAACCAACAAGTTACATTACAAAAATAAATCATTACGAGAAACGTGGGCAGCATATTCTGTTGTTTACCTTTGCATTACAATAAATGTAAATTAGAATTTGTCTTTATTTAATCATGCATTTGAGTATTTGAAGCCAAGACAAGCTGACTCACAAAAGACAACTCCTAGCATTTAATTTTCCTTCTATGTAGTTAAAACACATTCCAGTTCTTCCTCATTGACCTAGCATGGAATTTATTAGCTTGCTTCCCAATTCACAAAAAGCTGAGTAAAATTTAAACATTTTCCCGTGATTCATCAAAGCTGCTTGTCCACCAGGTTTTGCACTTGCAAAGAAAATTCAGTGCTCAGAGTATTTTTCTTTGCAAGCGAAAGCAGGCTGTGGCATGGGGAGAAGGGAAGAGAGGGGTAAGCAGGGAATATGTCTCAAGTATTTGGGCATCACAGGTGTAGGGGATGGCACCTTCCCCCATTTGGGGTTTCCCAAAATGAGGAACCTAACGCAACTCTTGAGGACATCAGTATGTGTATGTATTTGCATTAATATGTGTATAAAGATTGACAAAACAGTATTCCCTTCTTTACCCAATAGGCCTTTACTGGTTCTTGAAGCATGTTAGCATCCTGTTAGCATCATTCACGCAGGATATAAGGCTTCATGTGCCCTGACGGAAGCACTGGCTGCCAGCCCTAGACTGTTATGCCCAAGGGTTCTCTCCTGCTCCAATACCACTTGAGAGAGATGCAGGATCTCAGTTTTGGCATGGTTGGATGGCTGTTGGTTGGGATTTTGAGAATGAGTTTCAAACGAAGTAGCCTATATAAGCCTTTGACTGTAGTGATAGGACAAGGGGTGATGGGTTCAGACTTAAACAGGGGACATTTAGGTTAGATGTAAGAAAGAAATACTTTACAGTGAGGGTGCTGAGGTGCTGGCACAGGGTACCCAGAGAAGATGTGGCTGCCTCATCCCTGGCAGTGTTCAAGGCCAGGCTGAATGGGGCTTGGAGTAACCTCGTCTACTGGAATGTGCTCATGGCAGGGGGGTGAAACTGGATGAGGCTTTAAGGTCCCTTCTAACCCAAACCATTCTATGATTCTATGATTACACTAACTTGTTTATTTTCTTATTTGATATTGGCAGTCAGTTAGTATTATTTATTTGGTTTATTTAAAAGGAATGGTGGTTTGGGCTTTCTAGCTCAACTTCTGAAGAAGTTGCTGTTGTAACTCCACTGTCTGCTGTTTGCAGCTTTTACAAAGTTTTGCAATTAAATTGTCCGTATTCAGTGGTCAAAAATAATTTTCCATTTGCTGACAAAATGAGCAGAATGGCTAAACTTCAGAGGAAACTTCAGAGAGGGAAAGCATCAACAGTCTTTTGAGTGTCAAAACTGGTGTGACGTACATTTGCATATCCCAGCTGCTAAACAGCCCAAGTGGAAAGAAAAGGGAGATTTGCTAGGGAAATAGCTTTGTTGAGGGGGAAAAAAATGTTATGGTGTGTGTATATGTCACTAAAACCACATCTCTGAGTCATTCACAGCTGCCTTTGATGCAGACAGCAGGGGTGAAGGCACTGCCACTGCTTGGTCCTTGTTCCCAGGGTCAGGGCCATGACTGGCTGTGCTGCAGTGACTGTGGCTGAGTAGGTCATGGTGTCCACAGTGGGCTGCAGGCAGGACTCTGGGCTGAGCTTGATTTAACCCCATCTGGAAAGGCTGTCATCGTGGCACCAGCTTACAGTGATGTGTGCTATTGCTGTACCCCTTCTTTCTTGCCGAGCACATCCCTAGGGCAGATCTGCACTGGAAGAACCAGTGATGCAGCTCCCAGTCTGCTCTGTCTCCACCCATCCCAGCTGTCTGACAAGGGAGCCAGGGCTGGGGAGCAACAGCAGAAAGAGATGGTAGGAGATGGGAAGTGCAGGCACCTTCCTCACAGGGTGAGAACTTGGGTCAGAGAACACTGAGAGTCAGACCCATTTGTCTGTGTATAATACATGTAACTCTGGTGTATGTTCAAGGCCTCTCTCACCCTTACACTGACATTTCCCTTCAACAGAAACAACCTGGGAGCGGCCAAGCAGCGTGCCTGGGACTCCAAAGAGCCCTGTGTCACAGAAGAGTTCTGCAGGTACTGTTTGCTGCTGTGACTGACCACTGCATTGGATGAATCTGCTTTTCCACCACTCAGCAGAGCAAAGGAAAATGCTGTGATTACCTGAGAAGTGTATTTAATGTACTTGGTCATGCAAGTGTGGCAGAATATGGGGGGGGTTCACTTCTGATACATCTTCTTGTCGTTTCCCTACTGATGCATCTTCTGGCTGGGTGTCTGAGGTATTTGCTCAGAGCTGAGATAGCTTCTTCCTTGGAGCAGGGAGGCAGATGGTGGGCCAGCAAGCCAGCAGGGCTGCTGGCTCTCAGTGGGAAGATAGGCTGCCTTTCCCAGTCCCGCTTTCTGCTGGGGCAGGGGAAGCAGACAGCTCCAGCATGGGGTCCTCCACAAGCTGCAGGTGAATATTTGCTCCATTGTGGACCTCCATGGGCTGCAGATGGGTATCTGCTCCACTGTGGACCTCCATGGGTTGCAAGGGGACAGCCTGCCTCACCATGGGCTGCACCACAGGCTGCAGGGGAACCTCTCCTCTGGTACCTGAAGCACCTCCTGCCCTTATTCTGCACTGACGATGGGGTCCAGAGAGTTTTCTCTAACATATTCCTCTCTCTGTCTGAAATTGCTGTTGTGCAGTTTCCCCCACATTCTTAAATACATGGTACCAGAGGTGCTACCACTGTCACTAATGGCCTTGGCCTTGGCCAGCAACAGGTCACTCTTGGGGCCAGCTGGCATTGGCTCTATCAGACACGAGAGAAGCTTCTGGCACCTTCTACACAAGCCACCCATGTGCCACCCCACTACCAAAACCTTGCCACACAAACCAAATACAACATACCCAACTTCCTCAAACACATAATTTTACCAAACAATGATAGGGGAGATGTTTTGAGTTTGGGCATCTCTTTTTCTTAGCTCTTTCCAGCTCAGTAACTCCTGTCATAACTGCTGATAAGCGCCTGCTGTGGCTCCATCAGCTGAGCTTCTGTAGAGTGCAATTCTGGGGTCTTTCTGGATTGGAGCTAACACAACACATTGCCAGCCTGTTGGAATGGGGAGAAGCATCTGTAGTTTCTTAGGCAGGAGGCAGTGAGCACTGCTAATTCAAAAAAGACACTGATTTATATCTGTCTATTCGATTAGTGATTATAGTTTTTTAAATGTGTATTTATTCATTTGCTACCAGCAGCAAGCCTGTTAACTCTTCATCTGTTCTTACAGTGAATGGCTACTACATCTCTGGGACCCCAGTACACCAGCTTGACTCTGGTCATATGAGCCTTCGAAAAGCCAGTGGGGATCCACAGGTAAGTCTGGGGCAAAAGTTCAAACAGCTATCCATGGATACATGGGTCTCCACTTGAGTAACTTTGGAATATGCCCAGGGCAGGAGGTCAAGAGACATTTTCCTTTTGGAACTGCCAGATCAGACCAGATTTGTTGCATCTAGAATAGTCTTTGTGTCCGGCTGGTAAAGATGTACAAAATGCCAAGATACTTGGGATTTTTTCATCCTATCACTCTGACACTTCAGTCACTATTAACAACCCTACAAATTTTCTTGCCACTCCAGCAAGAAGCCTGGGCCTGTCTCCAGCACAGTTCTCTCTCTAGACTTGCACATCTGCCCATTTCTGTATCTCATTGTGTTTTCTTGTAGCTCCAGCTTTCCCTCCCAAAGACAGTATTCACAAAGAATTTGTCTGAAACTTGTTTCTCAATTACTTCATCCATTCCTGCATGTCCTCTTACAGACCCTCCTCTGTGCCTGACATAGCGTGTGCCTCACCCATCTCATCACTGACCCGTGGACGGTCTCTCTGCCTGTTTGTCCAAGTTTTCAGTAAATATCCCTGCACTTTTTCTTGTACCACTTTGTGTCCTCAGGCGAGTCTTCCCCACAGGTCTGCAGATGCAGCACAGGGCCCCTCCTCCAGCTTCTCCCATGAAACTCTTCACTCCCTGCCAAAACAACAGTTGAATAGCTGGTGGGTTGTACTTCTGTAGGGTTGTGCTTCCCTGCCCACTGATAACCCTGATGGTACTAGACCTGAGTCCTCTTGCCTCATTTGTGTAGTAACTGACAGGTTCTTCTAAGTGCAACTCCTTAAATACTCCCAGTGAAATGATTTGTGTGCTGCTGCCATCCTGACAAGGGTTGCCTGTTGCTTTCAGCATCTCTCTGATGTTCCCTATTTCTTGGTCTTAATTTTGTGTTGTCTGCCAACTGTCCCGCTTTGCCTCAACCCACTTTCTCACCCACTGTCTCCTAAGTAGTGGCCTTCAGCCTTGCCCTCATGTGTTCTTATTGCAGCTAAGTTAGCATTTCTGGTTTTGCTTCCACACCAGTGGATTCATCTCCCATGACACAGTTCAGCACTTACTTTGGACTCCCTGTTCCTTCCACATCAAACATCTTGCACTGCCTGTGCTGCTTCTTCTCTGAGCTGTTTGTACAGGCTGGAGGCAGAGCATATAAAAAAAACATATAAAAAACCCATGACCAAACTAGGTCAAAAGAGTTTTAAAGCCTGGTGTAGTGTAGTGCATTGTCAGACACCCCTGTCCACACATCTGCCATGACACCCTCAGAGAACCCAAATAAATGTGCAGGCTGTGCCTTCCTTTTAAAATAGCTGTGGTAAGCCTTTTGCAAAACATTCACTTCTCAAGGTATCTGGTTCACAGTGTTTTTGCAGTTGGTTCACAAGTCACATTAACTGACACCTCCAAAACTTCCTCTGTAGCAACATTTGCTATTTTCCATTTTTACAGTGCTGAGCCTGACTCACATTTATAGCCACCATTTTGGAAAAATTCACTTCTGAGCTACATGGGGAGCCCATTACCACGCACTGCTTTGCTCAGCTGCCTCAACCATCAGACTGACAAAAATCCCTTTCATGACTTTCCTCATTTACTCTAACAGCCTCTGTGATACATTCTTTCCATTGCTCCTTTATTACAGTTTTTCTCAATTTGAAATCCTGGCTTCATTCCTGCTTTGAGCCTATAACTAGTTTATAACCGGCTGCATTAGCAGCAGCTCATGTCCATGCTCACTCAAGAGCCTGCTCTTCCTGGGAGCTGGCTGCTTTTGTAGAGGAGTCCCTAGTAAGGAGAACATCTGACCGTGAACTGTTGGTTGCAAGAAGCTGTTCTCTGCACCCTCTTACACTTTGGACAGTCCCTCTCCCATTTGCTTGTCTTGGGCCACCCCAAGCTGCTTCGCCTTGACTGCCTCCTTGTCTGTGCTTGGCACAGGCTGTCTCCTGCTGCAGAGCTGCTTCCAGGCATCCTCCAGGATGCTTTCTTAGGCCTGGGCACCAGCCATCGTTCGAACAAACGCTGGCAAGATCCCTCAGGCACATTTCTTGGAAGCAGGTCAAGGGGGGAAAAAGCCACAGCGGAGAACAACGCGGAGCTGTGCTGTGCTGGGCGCAGGGCCAGGCCTTGTTTACGGCTTCCTAGAGAGCAGCTGGACGCTCCCCGTCCAGGTTGTCACAACAGCCACGGCGGGAGCGGCAGCACAGCCCGGTCCCGGTGCAACGCGCTCGGCCCAGGACACGATGTGACCGGAGCTGGCCGCGGGTCTCGGGCTGTACCCGAAGGGATGGCGCTGGTGCCCGGTCGGGACACGCTCATGCTGGGGGCACCGCTGTGCCACCGGCGCGGGGGGAGCGGTCACTCCCCTCAGAGGCAGCGCCGCGGGACGGGGCCGCCCTGAGGGCTCGGCGGGAGGGCGGTGGGGCCGCCTTGCTCGGCAGCGCGCTCCGCCATTGGCCGCGCGGGCTGGCGGCGGCACCGCCTCCACTGCACCCCGAGCGGAGCGGAGCCGAACCGAGCTGAGCCGAGCCGAGCGGAGCCGCTGGGCCATGGGGTCCGCCTAGCTCCAGCCCCGCCATGCTGGGCTTCGAGAGCGGCCGTGACGATGTGCCCCGCTTGTCTCCACAGACCCCGGGGTCCCCGGCGGCGCCGCGGCGGCAGAGCAAGGAGAGCAGCCTGACGGTGAGTGCGCGGGGCGGCGGGGGCATCGTGCCGGGGGGCGGCGGGCAGGGCCTTCACCGCGAGTGATTTTGGTGTGGAAACGCTCCGAAGTGAAGATCCCCGGGAGGTTTAGGGTTCTTCTACCTGGACAGAATTCCAGTGTCGTTATCACTTTGATCCCGGTGGATCTGGGATGAGCTGGAGGCAAGGATGTTCCAAAGGTCCTAAATGTGAAGCAGGCATCCTGAGGAAACTTCCTCGTGTGGTAACCCCCATCCGCAGCCTTTGGACTTGGAGAAGCAGTCAGGTTGGAAAAGCACAAATCTGAGGAGGTGGTCGTTGCCCTGCCAGGGCAGAATCTTTGGCTTTTTCCCGGAGGTGTCAGGAGGTGTTTTTCTGTGCCAGAGTGTCCAAGTGAAGATCTATGATGGAGAAATCATCATAAAATGATTTGGGTTGGAAGGGACCTTTAAAGCTCATCTTGTTCCAACCTCCTGCCCCAGGCAGGGACACCTTCCACTAGATATAGGTAAAGATTTTAAGTTTCAGTCTGAAGGTAATCTTAAATTTACTTTTAATATTAGTAATTAAATATAGCTGACTCAATTAAAATGCTCTTCAGTATCCTGTTTACTGACATTATATCTTTTGTGTGCCTGGTGACCTCATCTGGAACCCAGTTTGCACTTCTGGACTCCTCAGTGCAGGACAGATGTTTAAACACAGAACAGAAATCAAAATAGGTTTACAAAAGTGGCTGGGAATAGAAAAGTTTGTTTAAAAGGAAATAATAAAGAAGATAAATGAGCAGATAAATAAATTGCAGTGGTAAAGGAGAGGCAATAAACATGCTTATAGCTGCAAGCATTGGCAGGGTATAAAATCCACAGGAACAAAAAGAATAATGTTATACATCATTGTTAACTGTTATTGTGTGGAAGAGGTTGTTGTCTGTATTATCACACAGAGCCTGATTTATCTCTTGGTGGATTTATGTGTTGGTGGGGCACAGTTTCCTGTGTTTCTGATGGGAGGGATGAGTGTTTGGTAGGAGCACGTGCCAGAAGGAGCAAGTGCAGGTCAGTCATTTCTATGTAGGTACAGTTTTATGGGGGAAAAATATCTTCAGCAGTTTGGTTACCAGAATCAGTTGTTACAAATGAAATGTGCTGTTGCTGTTAGTGTATTGAAGGAGTTGTATGTCGTGAAGCTGGTTTAGATTTGCAGTGTCCTGCTGAATTAGCTGCAGGGCTGTGGTGGCTGGGGCTGGAAACTTGTCCAAGACACCTAATTCAGCCCCTGCCAACCCAGGTTGGAGGGGTAGGAGCAAACCATGGGCTGAACATCATGTCTAGATGGACTAGAGATGGTGGGTTGCAAGGTGCAGCAGAAGAGTGCCTGTGTTCCTGAAATACTGGCTGCTTACTAAGGACACAGGCTGTTCACAGAGGGTGGTTTTCACTGTTCATATTTGCTGACCCATGTGCCATCTGGTAGCATCTGCAAAGCAAGAAGCTGTTATGTGTTATGTCAGGGTCACTGGGTGTGCATTTGTCCAGCAGAAGTCTGAAGCTTTCAAGCACAATGCATCAGACAGGCAAAACCAAGCTAATTTTAACAGCTGTTTGCTCCAAGCCATTGCCTGCATCAAGGAAGCATTGTGAAAAACAATTCTCATACAGAGTGTAAGCTGTAAAACAATGTAAATTTTCCCCCTGTCTCCTGGGAGGTTATATTTGTTCAGCACCACTCAAGCTGACATTGGGATGTTCTGAGTAACAGAGCTGTAGGGCATGTCCTTAGCTTTCTGTCAGATTTTTTTTCTTGGTCTGTAGCTGTGCTCAGGCAGAACCTCTTCTTGCAGAGGGGATTTTTGTGACTAAGTCTCTCAGAAGAGCAAATCTCTCCCCAGACTGAAATCCTGTGTTATGCAAACTGTGGACATGAGGTGATGTCCAGCAGCTGCAGCCTCACTGTCTCTGTTCCGCTGCTTTCAGCAGAGGAGTGGGAGTTTGTTCCTGCCTTCCTAGGACTGCATCTGCCTCTTCTACATCCAAATAACCATTTAGGAACATGGCTTCTGGAAATCTTGAAGGATAATGGGAGCTGGAGTATTTCTCATCTATATGCACCCAAGAAGAAAAGAATATGATGCTTTCTCTTTGGTAAATGAATCTTGAAACCACTGTGTTGTCTGTTTTCTTTGGAAGGGTTATATCAGAGACTGTTATGAAACTGCTGCTTGCAGAGATTATTGATGCTCTCTTAAGAAGCAGCAGTGCAGGTCAGTAGTCTGTGGTCTGTGTTGATTTTTGCAGTGAGATTCAAAATGGACTCATTAGTTTTAGGCTGGATGGTTTGCTATTTGATTCCTGAAGAGCTGTCTCTGGACATGAGTTACCCATGGAAGCTGGAATTCCTTTATTATACATGAGGGAGAGTTAAATAGAGAAAGTACTGCAGGGTATCGACTCAGGGAACCCACCATGTCTCACTTGAAGAGCAAGAAACCTCTCTGATGATATGCTACTTCCGAGTGTGGGTTTCCTTCTGAAGAATGCTCTGGTGTCTTGTCAAGATACAGCATGACTTGGAAAACGCTGGTATTTGCACTGCGTATGTTGAACACATAAATGAACACGTGCTGCAGATGGGAAGAGGGGCAGCCTACATGCAGTAACTTGGTATTTTCTGCTGCTGTGTTCTGCGTCTGACATCATGTGAGGGACACGTTCTGAGGCTGCATGTTCTTTTCTGCTCCGGGGCTGACTGCATGGCAGAAGCTGTCTGAAATCCTTAGCACGGACCAAATCATCTCTCAACCTTTGTACACATAGACCAAATAAAGAGGGCTCCTAAGCACTTTTGGTGGAACCTTCCATTTGAAATAGGAAGAATATAAATTGACTGTGTTAATAATCAGAATTTCAGTTGGTTGGTTGATCTCCCATTCTGTTGTACCATAGCTGCAGCATCACCCTGCCAGTGCTAAAACCACATGCAAACTCATGATACCGAAGCTGCCTAGACACAGTCCAGGCATTTCTGGGCCTCTCCTGACTGACCAAGCCTCTTCTGAGATCTTCAGCCTTTGCATTTGACTCTTTTGCCCAAACAGTCCCTCACTGCATCCAGTGGAGTTGGCCATTGTACTTTTTGGGTCTCAGCTGGAATTGTAAAGCAGATACTGAAATTAAGCTGTCTGGCACAACCATGCTGTGTTTAAGGTGCTGTGAATGTGTAGAAATCGAGAAAAATAATGTGCATTTTGAAGATGAATAAATGAACAAGCATGTTGCCCTGCTTTAGTCACTTTAGCATGGCCCAGTAAGCTCGCCCACTGTCTGCTGCTTTATTTATATAGTGCCTTATGTAATAAACATGTAGTTGATTACCTAAGCCTTGATCAAATTATTCTTGGTTTATTCATGTTGCTGGGCAATGTGTCATTTACTGTGAGTGCTGGTAGCAACTTCAGAGTCTTCAGAGTTTGAAATCCACAAAATGAATGTGTGTGTCCAAACCAACAAAGTTTCTTACTCGTGTGCATGCTGCCTGTGTGCAAATTCTATGCACTCACCTGCCACCCTATGACTTTTCTTCTCCTGTCACCCCTTTGCATCTCAGACATGGTCAAGAGTTACCTACAACCATGAGTAAACAGCTCATTTTGCCATCACTGCCAGTGTGAAAAATGAGCTGGAATATTCAGCTGCTAAAAGTATAACTGCTTTTCCTCATGATCAGTATACAGACAAAAGTATTTTGAAGCATTTATTGAGTTTGGTCCACAGCAGGCTTGTCAAGAGAAATGCATCAATTTCTGTTGCTTGTCTGGGTCATGTCCCCTTGAGCTTTGTTGTCACCATGGTTTTCACAGCATGTCTTCTATGTCTGTGTACCTTCTTCTAGCCTCCGTGAGCCCGGGGCGCTCCCACAGATTTGATGGTGCCACTCGTGTCCTGTGGGAGCTGGAAGGACAGGCTGCTGTCTTCTGGCATGTTTGCTTAGCTTATCCCTCCAGTATGCCTTGCTGGTGCCTTGCCATTAATTTTGCTCTGTTGCAAGCTGACAACAGCCATTATTTTTATTAGTGAAGAGGCCAAATGAGGAGTTAATATCATGGTGAGGCTGATTATCACCTCAGCAGAGCCTATGCAAATCTAATGCAGGTCATAACGCCTTGTTTTCCCTTGAAGTTTTGTGCCTCCATCCGTAGCTGAGATGTGTTTTAATTTATTTCTTACTGAGAATTCCAGCTGTAATAGTCGGCTTCTGCACACATCTGTTCAGGCCTTGCTGGCTATCAGCATTGTGGAAAGAGATTAGTGCTGCCATGGTCTGAATTTGGACCTTGCATGTAGCCTGATTGGCTATCAGGGATGCAGTTAGTGAGAACAGTGGTCCCCTGTATGGGGAGGAGGAATTGCTCTCTGTGGGACTGATAAAGCTAATGAATGCTGTTAATAAACATCAGGACATCATTGTGAGATGCTTTGACTCTCTAGCATCAAAAAGCTCATCAGTGGGACTAAGCTGGTGAGCCTGAGTGTGGTTTTTTTTAGCTATCTTTGGTTTTAGGAATACGAAGAAGAGCATTTCAGAGGGAGAATTGTGGGGAGAATGAGATGTGGTCACTCCACTACTGGCATGTGGCCATGTTCTGCTCAGTGCCAGCTCAGTGTTCTCCTCCCTGCTGGGAAACCCTGAGACGTTTTAGAAATGTTTGGAAATACAACTAAGAGCTCTTGTTGTATGAAGTCTGTGGTGATGAAAGGAAAGAAGGAGTCAGAGGATTTCCTGTGCAGCTGTATATAAGTTTCAATAGTATTTGTAGAGTTTCAGAAACTTTCATGCCCTCTCCAGAACTTTGTTCAGAAAACTGTGAGTTCTGTTAAATACTATTTACCACACAAATAATCTTGCAAAAGCTTCTAAATTTTATTTTGTCAGTTCTGACACCAGTTTCCTTTTAAACATGATACTCAACCCAAATGGCCTCGTGACTTTTTCCAGACCTTTCAGCATTGTTTCTAGACAAGTATAAGCTTCAGAGAAGTGGAGGATGTTTGATTTATTTAATAAAACTTTGCATCTGATGATATTCTTTGAGGAACACGTGAATCAACTCTACCCTGATCACCTGTTGATATGTGTACTCACTGCTCCTCTTCCTGTTGTGCATGTGGACGTGGTGCCATGCATTTGGTCCATACACAGTCCAAGCATGGGCATTTCCAGTGACTTTGTATTTATTTATTTAGGACATTAGTGATGTAATGGAATCTTAAGTTCATTAAGCAGCTTCCAGCCAACACAGATTTAGTTTTTGGGAAGCAGATGCTGGTTTTAGTGGGAAATATGAATTTCCTTTGCAGTTCCTCTTTGCAGATTTCTAAGCTGCAGGGAACAACTCGCGTGCCACTGTATGTGCTCCCTGTTGCATGTTACCTTCATGTGCTGGTGCGCAGTGTGATGACATCCAGTCTTCTGGTAAAGGCTGTAAAATACATTTAGGAGGTGCTTATTTCCCCCCTTCTCATTATCCAGTGTGAGAATGTTTGCATGCAGCTTTGGAGTCCTTAGTACAGGAAAGACATGGACCTGCTGGAGATGGTCCAGAGGAGTGCCACAAAAATGATCAGAGGAATGGAGTGTCTCTGCTGTGAGGAACGGCTGAGAGAGTTGGAGTTGTTCAGCCTGAGACGACTCCAGAAAAACCTTATTGCAGCCTTTCATTTCTTAAAAGGGGCCTGTAAAGAAAGGTGGGGAGAGAGTTTTTAGTAAGGGCCTGATGTGATGGGATGAGGGGTGGTAGTTTTAAACTGAAAGAGGGAGATTCAGGCTGAGGAAGAAATTCTTTACGATGAGGGTGGTAGAACATTTGCAAAGGTTGCCCAGAGAAGCTGTGAATGCACCGTCCTTGGAGTCATTCAAGGCCAGGCCGGATGTGGTTGTAGGCAACATGATCTAGTTGCAGATGTCCCTGCTCATTGCAGGGGGCTTGGACTAGGTGACCTTTGAAGGCCCCTTCCAGCCCAAGCTATTCTATGATTAAATTCTATGTTTCTGTTTTTGATTCTCCAGTGTTGTGTCCTAGAAATCTACCGTGAAAACACTGCTGTCTTCATGGAAAGCATTTGACTCTTTCTCAGTTGAAATAAGCCATTTTGAGCAGCATGAAACTCCACTTAGTGTTTCCACATGGAACCTCCTAGCCATTCTCTGAAAGTCCACCAGTAAGAAGATATGTGTAAACCAGAATAGCTTGTCCTTTCCCCACTGCAGTACTGGTGCTCCCAGTAACGGAGGTGTACATCATTTCCAGCATCCCTAAAACTCCTGTGGAGGCTCTTTACCTCTTTTTGCCTTTTGCTGCTAACTATTTTTAACTTGAGCTAAATCCAGTGTTCCTGTAGCTTGGCAGTCTGCTCTTGTGGGGCAGCACCTTGTCCTGGATGCTCCAAGGTGTGTTGTGTAAAGACACATGGTAGCTGTGCACAGGTCAGTGCTGCATGCGGGCTGCCAGAGAGGGTCTGGAGGGGCTAAAGGGGCCTCAGGAGATGGAGATGCTGGAGGAGTTGGAAATGCTGTCAAATGTGGTGAAGACTGGGAGGGCTGGCATCCAAGTGACCTGTGGCTGTGACCCAGATTTTTATTCAGTGAGTGTGAAATGCAGCATCCAAGCCAGAAATCCTCAAAGCCAGAAGCTGTTTAAACCTGTCTTGACACCGCATCCTTCACCTGGTTACCTAAAACATTGTCATTGCTGACAAGACTTTGTTTCCTGTATCTCCCCTGGTCTGGGAGGATAAGCTGCATCATTGCTCACTCATGGGAACCAGTTGGCCCGCTGTGATACCTGGCAGAGTGATTGTTCACAGGTTCTGAGGCCATCTCAGTGTTTTAAGATGAAACAACAATATATTGTGTTATTTGAGAGATAGATAGTATGTGTCTATGGCAGCATAGAGGCATGCCCAGGTACAGCAGTGGTGTGGAATTTGGTGATCCAGCAAAGTGGAGCCTTTTCTCTGTCTGCCCTTGTGCACCAACCTAGCACTGGTCCAGGTCAGTGCTTATTGGATGCTATCTGAAGGTAGCAATTTGGCTTAAGGTTTATAGCCACTATTTATAAGTCATCTGGGCTGATCAGTTGTGAGGCATCCTTGTAGGGATTATAGGATCTGCGTGCAGCCTTTTAGGTCTTAGTGATCCCTGGGTGGAGAAGGGAAGGTAACCCAACCTACCTAACTGAAGAAAACCAGGGCAAGATGGGCTGGCAGTGTTGTCCTGAGATAACTGAACTGATAGAGAAAAGGCAGGAGGGGAAAATTTTAGCAGAGACAGAAGGTGTTCTCAGTGGAGCATCCCTTGTGGAGGAGCTTCATGCGGGAGGCTGTGGTGGTGACTGAAGTCAGCCTGGGTTAACGCAGGGCCTGATGCTGCAGCATGGGCAAGCCCAGTTAACTATACAGGCACATCCCCTGGCATGCCCCAACACTGCAGGGATGTGAGGGTGAGCACTAGCACCTCTCTTGCATGGCCATCCCACTCTGAACTGAGCTGGTGTTTTGTATCTCCTGATGTATGGCACTTCTGCTGTGGAACGTGAAGGAAGAGGAGGTGTTTCCAGCAGCTCCTGTAGTGGGGACTGTGTGGCCAGAGGAGGCTGGTTCTGGCTGGAGATGCAGTACCACACAGCTGCTGCCTGCAGAATGATGGTGAAGCAGGAGCCCTGGTCTGCAGATCAGATTGAAGCCTGATGGGCGCTGAAAGGGAGGACACATGGCTTAGAACCTGTAGGTACAGGGTCCTCAGCCTGCTTTGAAATGGATTTGGCAAGCTCTGAACAGAGTGATTTTTGTGGAGACAAGGGGTGGACAGAGCTCTTGCATTATGTACGGGATAGCCCCTGAAGCTTCAGCATGGGCAGCCAGCAGCAGAGCCAGTGTGGGTTTGTAGGAACAGCACTGTATCAGCTAAAGGCTTTGTCTGCATTGCTCTGCCATGGTGGCTTTACTCTGTGTCAGCACTTTGCTGTGTCCTTTTTGATCCCCTCTGAATAGCCAAAAGGCAGATTTACTGTGTGTAAGCACTCCTTTTAGGTCTGCCCATACAGCTGTGCTAACCCTGCCCACAGCTTTGTTTCTGGATTTCCTGTGAACAGTAACTCCCCAAACCCATAGTTACATTTGCGAGTCTTCCATCCCCAGCTTCTGTTTGTTGCTCAGTGAATACACTCTTAGCGTCCAGTGAACCTGTAGGGGCAATAAGAGGCTGATTTTAGTGTGCCTGCCCAGCAGAAATGCAGGGGAGCATTATATGCTGGCAGTGAGCTCTGACTCTTGCTGATGCTTCCTCTGAAGGGCTTAACTACATCCAGAGTTATTCTGCAGCACCTTCTGCAGTAGCTGTCATGCTCTTCACTTCCATTGTGCTTTTATCAGGCTACATTTTCTACTGTGATAACTTAATAAGCACTTGTACTTTTTTATGCCTTCGTTTAATGATTGTGTGATGAATCCTATCTCAGATTACTGTGGGTTTTGTGTACTGAAGGCTACCTGACTTGCAGGGAGCATCACTTTCAACTGAAAAGGTCTCTGGAATGAACAAATAACACCTTTTTGTGTAATCCTGTAAGAGACTAAGATAGCTGAGGTTTTCTGATGGGATACTCCAATAGTGCCTTCAGTGCTGTCTGCTGCTCACAGCATTTTGTGTGTTCAGGGTGTTCCACATCAGGACTTTCCCCACATTTTGTTAGGCATTTAGGAAAACTCCCTGTATGGCACTTTCCAAACCAAGCGGTTTTCCTCATGTGAAACGGGGAGGTGATTTTCCTCTGAGGCAGCACTCCTGCTCACTCACAAGAGCTTTCTGGGAATACTTAGCTGCTGTTTCCATGAAACAACCAATTTTTCTTCTCTGACATTCATTCACTGGATTTTCTGATTGGAAGACTGTGTATATAACCTTTCATTTGCATAGATCTTGTCAACAGCTCCATTTCATTACCTTCTAACTCTCTTTTGCTTTTTTGTTACAGATAAACTGTGTGACTTTCCCCCACCCTGACATAATGCCAGAGCAGCAGTTGCTGAAACCTTCAGAGTGGAGCTACTGTGATTATTTCTGGGTAAGTAGGCAGCCAGCCACATGCCATATTGCAGCTCTTGAGCTGCTGAAAAAGTGGAACAAATAGCTTGATTTGTGATACAAAGTAAAGGAGAATTTGGGCTGAAATGCAGCATATTAGGGCAGCACAAGGGAGACTGAAGTCACCAGTGGAAACCATCTCAATGGTGTCAGATGTGAACGATTATCAGAAGAATATCCAGAAAGGCAAGGTCAGCTTTCAGGAGATGGTTTTGGTCAGTAAATGGGGAGGATGTAGGACAAACTACACATCTTGAAATACCTCAGGCAAAAGGGCTGTGCAGCAGGAGGTAGCTGGCAGGCAATGGTATTTCACTGTTTCCCAGAGCATGAGAACTAGGAATGCATGAGGAAGCTGGGAGTATCACATTTATAACAAGCAAATAGAATTATAGAATGGCTTGGGTTGGAAAGGGCCTTAAGCTCATTTAGTTCCAACTCTGCCATGGGCAGAGACACCTCACACTGGACCATGTTTCTCAAGGCCCATCCAGCCTGGCCTTGAACAGTGCTGGGAATGGGGCATTCACTTAGATTCAATACCTTGCATTTGAAGACAGCCGGTTAGAAATGAAAGCTCAGATCTCAGTACCAGATTCAGATCTCTGCCTTACTCAAATGTATCTCTGGGTTAATCCATCATAAAGATGAAAATAAGTCGCTGAATTTGGTGAAGGGCCTTTACAAACTTTCTGTTAAATTGGAAAGCTCTCTCCTATGGGATATTCTGTAGGACAGATAATAAATGACTTAAAGGATGAAATTTGAGGAGGACAAGCTCCTAAGTAGCTATTAAATGGAGTAGTTTTAATGCAGGCTTCAGCAGGGGGAGTCTCTAGTGACCATGTTCCTGTGTGTGCCCTCTTGCACTTAGCTCCGCTTTCAGGATCCTGAATCAGATTAAAATAATATAATAGTCCTTCAAGTGTGGAGCTGGTAGAAAAAGACTCTTCTACTGGGAAGCTTTTTGGGGGGTGGGTGAAATGCCACCTCCAAAATGAAGATTTTCTGAATTTTGGGTTTGTTTTCAGTTATGGGATGTTGAAGCATTTCCATTTCAAACAACAAAAGAGAGTTTTACTTACAAAAAGTGTAGCTGTTGGAGGCACAGCAGCACTTCCCCTCGTGTGCTCAGTGTTGGTATGTTAACTAATGGCAAGTTGTAGGAACTTGCCTACACTGACATATTTGCAAATTGTCACGTTCCCAAACCATCAGATTTTCTTCAGCTTCTTCCAGTGTTGTGATCCCAATGAGCAATAAATCATTCATGGTATAGATGCTTACGATTTGCACGTCTTGCAGAAGTCACTGCTCTCTTTGGTTCTTTCCATTTAATCTTGGCTACCACGTGGTTCCTTGGGTTTGGTCCAATCTTGCTGTCAGTGAAACTCCTCTGAAAGCTGCCTTCTGCAAGCTTGTATCCTCCCATAGCTCTGCTCCCAGGACTTTTCCTCTTGTTTGGTCTTGTCATCCATGATTTGCCTTCCTTCTTCCATCAGCTCCACTCCTCCCATTGTCTCAGCTGCCCAGTGCCTGGTATCACACTTGGATTAATGTGGCATTTTCCTTTTGCAGATGTGCAGCACCCAGCGCATCAGAACAAAACCTGTAGCCCTTAGGGAAGTGTTTTCCAGGCCTGTTTGTTGGAAGAGGGTAGGAAATTAAATTCTGAAATAGAGAAATGCAGAAAGATCAGGGAGAAAAGAGCAGAGAGAAAACTGACTTGGTCCTTGTAGCAACCCTGAAGTCTGTGGAGCAAAGGGTAGAAAGGGCTGTGTCAGAAACAGTGAAAGATGGGATGTGTGGTGGTAACCCGTTGAACAAGTTGCTGCTTTGTCTTGCTTTACAGCTGACCTGTGCAGACTGGCTGCATTTTTCTGAATGCAAGTCAGGGTTGAACCTGACAGTCTGTTAAAGGTTGTTTAAGGCTACATTACCCCTGGAAGCAGCAAGCAGTGTCCTCCCTGTCCTCCTCCTATTCTCTTGTGCTGCCTTTCTCTATTCAGAGTGAGCCACTGGGGCTCATGCTTGCCAGAGCCAGCCCCAGTGCTGGGGCATTAGAGTAAGAGGATGGGGAAAGAGAAAGTATTGGACTGTTCCTCTGACAGGGGCTGAGGTGCTTCAACCATCAGCTGTGATCAGGGAGGGCTCTTTGACCACCACTTCTGCCTGTTGCCCTGACTCCTTGGGCAGTAGAGACTTGGAGCTACATGTCTGTGCTTTTGATCACCATATCTTTTTGCTGAACATGCTTTTTCCTTCCAGGCTGATAAGAAGGATTCGCAAGGGAACAATACAGTGTCGGGATTTGAGATTCTTCTTCAAAAGCAACTTAAAGGGAAACAAATGCAGAAAGAAATGGCAGAGTTTGTTCGAGAAAGGTAAAGAGCACTTTGCTATTAAATGAACTGCTTATGGCAATATATATTTTTTCCTGATTGAGACATTCCTTTGGTACATTAATTAAACTGTGTAAAAGATATGCTACCAATTCATGGAGAACATTTTAATTTTCCTTTAATGTCCATCCACGCTCTCCAACTTGCCTCTCCTGCTTTGCACACTGGCTGTCCATTTAGGTAGAGGGAACCAAGAAGGTTTTAAGTTACAGATTCAAGGAAAAACCTGAACATGGAAAAAACAAGGTGAAGGTATTTTGAATGGAACTATTTTGCCTGAAAACTAGAGAAGCAATGTGTTGACATAGAGCATAAACACAGTTTCCTTGAGGAAGATGTAAAAAGACATCACTTGGGAATTAAGGTGGATATGGAGCTGAAGTACACATAAAGATATTTAGAGTGAACCCCAAGTCCTAAAGGCAGAGGTCTTTACCAGAAAATGGTAGAACACTGTTAATGGTCTGTTGGTCTGCTGACATGGGAAGTGCACTGAGCACCAAACAAGCAGTTGATAAATGCTCAGTTCAACCAGGTACAGGATATGATGTGACATCATTACTCGTAAGTAGTGTCAGTATTATTTGAAATCATTTGTCATCTGTCCAGACCAATGTAAATCATCTTGAGGATGACTCTCACAACTTGAGAACAACCCATAGGAAACAAGCAGTATTTATTCACAGGAGGAAGGCAGAGCATGCTGGTGCTCTTGCCTTTTTTAAAGTATTAACGATGTGGCAGCAGTGGAGAAATGAAAAGGATAGCACAGGCAATGAGGACAGTGATAGAGGAGGTGCAGAGGGCCCAGCATCCACATGTGGTTCATGCTGCCTGTGACATAAGACAGTCCAAGGGGACAGTACCCTCTCTGACCCAGTCTGACCAGAGGATGCAGGTAGAAGGAAGGACCAGCTGACAAAGAAAAAATACAGTTGAAAAATAGGCTTGCTAAGCTGGAAGATGAGGAGAAGGTGAGCAGAATTGTGATAGCCATGGATGGGGAAAAGAGGAGGATATCTGCCCCGAAGAAAGTAATACATAATAAAATTAGGTAGAAACAAAAGAAGGGAGCATTCAAGAGGGATGGAAAGTTGACATGAAATGAGAGAACAAAGAAAGAACAGGTCTGACACTGAGAAGAGGCATGTTTATGTCCTCAGTAGAGGAGAAGTAGGCATATTGATAGAAGGAAAGGCAGAAAAGATTCACTGTGTGCTGGAAACAAGGTTTGTGAAAAGAGTCTAGATGGGAGTTATAAAAAGATGAATACATTTTCCTTCTGTTTGGAACAAATGATTCAGGAGTGCTCTGTGTGGAAAAAGAGGAGGATGGCGTTGAGCTGGAGAAGTTACTCACAGAAATGAGACTTCAGGCCATCAGGGGAACCTTTACATTTCCAGCTTAGAGGGAAGAAGGACTGATAGGAAGAAGGACTCGGGGAATACAAGACTATGTATAGGTGTTTTCATGTCCAGAAAAAACCTCTCCATCTGCCTTCTGGAGGTGAGGTTTAGGCAGCTGATAAAAAAAGCTTTAAATAGGAAGCAGGGATGAGACGTGATAACCATATTTCTTCATCAGTTAACCAACAAGAAGCAACACTAACTGAAATTCAGTTTCTCAAGTAGGTTCTTTAAGAGGAACTACTTGTAAATAGCAATTCTGTGTTTATTCAGCACCTGTTGACAAAGGTAGGGTTATAACACAGACTTTGAATTTGAATAAGACAGGCCTCAAAACAGGAGTTCAAGGGTGTGGGTGTGAAGGAAAGGAAGAATTTAAATCAAAAGTAAAAATATGGTCCAGCACTTGCATTAAAACAGCCAAGAAAATATGCAGACTGCCCTGAATATCATCAGTCTCTGAGTATGAGTTAGCAGCAAAGGAACACAGATCAGGCTTTTGGCCTCTCACTTTTTTTATGAAGTTGGACTGTGCTTGGAAAATGTAAATTATTTAGCTGCTGCCATGTTCAGCAGGTACTTGTAAGCACCTTCCACTCTGTCTCATCCTTTTGAGTCTCTATATTTTTGGCCACTACAACAACTGGACAACATTTCTGCAGTTTGTGTACTATAGGAAAAGTAATTGTGCTGTTGTTTGATAACTTCATTGTTGCCTCTAATCTGGAGAAATAGTGTAAAAAAAGGCAACTTAAAGTCACAAGCACTGTCTTCATCCAGTGGCAGTTGTGTAGATGTCTGTCAGATAACCCTCTGTTCACCTTTTCCCTGTGTTCCCTGTGTTGTCTTAATCTATTTAGTTTCTTCTTGCATGCTAGTCACATCAGATCATCTTTGTCTCCCTTTGGAGCTCTCTGTTTTTTCTTCATCTGTTGTAACAGCGTGACTGAAAGTATCTGGGTGTGAGCACACAAAGTACTTTTATTTCAAAAGAAGCATAAAAGCAAGGAATAAAACTCCAGAGAGCAACTAGAACTAAGTCAAGACAGCACGGGTCAAAATGTACTTACAATGCTTCTGAAACATAGGGAGTGAAGTTGGGAAACTTCTCAAACAAGTTAGTGGAAACAAGAAACATAGAAGGGGGGGTTTGGGTGTGAAGGTGTAGCTGAAGGTGTAGTTGACCTGTATTCCTTTCCAGTCCATAGAAATTGCCACTTCTAAGACAAGATTAGCCTCATTATGAAGTAGATATTTAAAGCAGGTCAAGTAAAGCGTGCCTGGATCAAAGCCTTACATTGTGAGGTCCTAACCACAGCATAGCCTTGGTGCTGAAAGCTATATTTGTTGGTCGTCTTGTAGCAGGTGTGGAGAGCTGTCTGGTTTTGTTCTCATTGGAGGGGGATGAAGAAGCCCCCACATGCTGGGCGTGCTCTGTAGTTGTACTGTGCTGTACCAAGCTGGGTATCACCTTGGGCTTCAGCCAGCTGCATCCCACACAGCGACATGCACATCCTATTTTCAGAAGCCCAGAATATCAGACCCCTCTTAGCTGGCTCTAGGGATCCCTTTTGTCTCAAATACAGCATGCCTAACAGTGCTTGCTCAACTAGCTACTGCCAGTGGGCCTACCAAAAATACCCCACCTTCTGTCCTCTCAGTGGAAGGAGATGGATTTCTAACCAGGCTTTTCCCCTGCTTGTACGTAGTTTAGCACAAAATCAGGAGTTGCTCCACCTGGATATCACTCAACTCTCTCCTAGAGATGCTTTATTGAGCAAACTAATTTGAAAACCAGCCAAGAGCCAGTTGTTTGCCGTAGTTGGGATGATGTCTACCTTGCAGATGTCTCACTAGAACTTAGTTGAAGATCATTTTCAGGCATGATGCATGTCGCCTCTGCACCAGCAGCTGCTCTTTCCCTCCGTGCTGTGCAGCCAGCATTTATCCTTGTCCCCTTCCTCAACCCATGTTCTCATAGTGGTTGTGTGCCAACAGCCTCCCTCTTGTGCACCTCCACTGATGGCAAGCTCAGATCCTGTTCCTTTGTGGTGCTGCTGAGTGAACAGAGGACAGGGTAGTGGGCGTGATGGGTGAATGGTAGAAGCTGCACCACTACCTGTAGGTGGCAGAAGCCCCTGCCATATCTTCACCAGCTTTGCTATCTGTCATGGGAATCAGGAAGCACTTGTATTCCTAAGAAAGGTGTAGTCCAGCACCACAAACCTCATTTGTATTTCTCCTGCAATGGTTCATTCCTTAATCTTTGCCTCGAGGATGTGTGAGCTCACGTTTAGTGGCAGACTGAAACACATTTCTCAAGTGTGCCCAGTTTTGCAAACAGTCCATGGTGCACAGCAGAAACACTTTGTCCTTATTATTTGCTCTCCAGAAGTGTAGCTTTTCCTTCAAATTTTATCACACATCTACCCATGCTCTTGCCACTGCATTTTTGGCATATGGAGGGGAGAGATGGAGCCTGAAACTGGTGCTGCCAAACCCTGAAGACTGAAAGTAAAATTCCTGTGGCAAAATATGTTAAAATGCAGAGAATTTCTTGAAATGATGTGTGTGGGTTTCTGCCTTAAAGCTTACTTACTGCTATCTTTATTTTCTCTGTGTGTGTGTGTGAGTGTAGGATAAAGATTGAGGAGGAATATGCGAAGAACCTGTCCAAGCTGTCTCAGAATTCCTTGGCTGCTCAGGAAGAAGGGTAAGTGTGTCTCTGTGACTTTTGCAGAAGACAAAGATTTTAACATAAAAAGCATTCCTCCCACACAGGTACATGTATTTTTCCTGAGCTCTCCCCATTGAGTAGAGGTTTATTTAGCTCAGCATCCTGCGCGTGTTGGGGAAGATAGAATTGCTTTTCTTATTTTCCTTATGAAGATGTTTATGGTACAGTTTTACGTATATGCATGTATTTCCAGTAATGTATTTATGCTGTCCTTGTTCTAGCCAGAACTAGTTCCTTTAAAGATTAGCATGTAGAAGTACTAAACTACTTTGACTGTGGAAGCATATATGGAATATACTTATTGCTGAAAGTAGATCCATAAGGTCAGGCCAGTAGAATTGTAGCAGCACAGACTGAGAGGATGAAGTTCCTTCTCATCATCGTCTGGCCCTCCAAGAGAAGCAGCAGGTTGTCCCTTACAGCATGTTCACACTTCAGAAGTTATTAAGAAGTTATTAGGCAATGCACTTCAGATTAGATTGCAGTTCAGTGAAAATAATGGAATGACCGCTCCTGAAGGATTAGAAGTTGTTAGCTCTGTCTGTTTCAACACAAACCATCTAAGCACTGGAAGTCAAGCTTTGAAATTATTATCCTCATCCTAGTTCTGACACAGAGTGTTTCTACTGGCAGTGAAGCTCCACAAGGTGTTTGCTTAGCTTTCAGTAAGCAAGGACAGAAAGTGCAGGAGGCTAACTACACTTCTCCAAGCACCTCCCTTGACAATGGTTTCTGTTCTTTGCCCTTTAGGGGAGGGTGCTAACCTGCTTCTAGCAAACTGAAACAAGTATCTTCCGCATCCTCCTCCCACTATTTTCTACCCCAAATAGGGGAAGGAGAAAATATCTGAAACAGTGAAGGGGGAGAACACTAGGGGAGAGTAGATGAAAAGAAAGGGAATGAGGACTGAAGCCTAAAAAATGTTGAAGTAGGGAGGTAAGGGGACACGGAGCAGAGTGCAGGGAGCTAAGAACACTGCCCAGTGGTGCTCTGTCTGGAGGGGTGGCAAGGTGAGGGAATGGAATGAGGTCCTGCCAGTATTATTCCTCCTGGTGCTATGGTGGCCAGACTGGCTAGGGCCAGGAAGAGGCTAGTGAGAAGATCCTGAGAACTGGTGAGGCCCTGGAAAGGGGAAAGGTTCTGTTTAAAGAAGTGAGGGAGGGAAGAGCAGCTAACAGGAAGATTTGAAGGATCTGGAAGTGAGACTGCAGCCTAGCACACTCAAAGTAATCATTCACCAGGCTCTTCCTCTCATTCCTGGGAAGGTGTGAGCTGGGGGACCCAACGAGCTGCTGTGTGAACATACCAGTTACCACTGGTGGTTTCATACTCTACTCTTCCAGCTTTGCTGTCTATGGAATTGTCACAAAGCATGAGCTGTCCCTCCAAGGTCCTCTGCCCTCCTTTGGTGGTAAGAAGACCCACTATCACGTATGTGAGTGGAACACAAGGGTGCTGGGATGGGACTGATTTGTAGTATTGGGATGGTTCTGTGCAAGTTGCTTTAAGTAAAGTGCTGTTGCATGTACACAGAAGGTGATATGATCCATACATCCAATCAAGTCACTGTAGTTGGATAAGAGATGCAGAAGATGCTTAGCAGACATCTTCACTTGAACAGATCAGACAAAATAGTGCCAGTGAGAACTGACAGTGGGAGGGTACCTCAGGGTGGAACTAGAGAAGGAGAAGAGCTGAGAGCATTTACATAGGTGAAACAATCTCAGGTTGTTTAGCTGTAGTGAACACCATGCTTGACGAGTCAACTCATTGGAGCAACCTCAGAGATGACAAATGAGTGTTCTGAAGTTGCAGATCACAGGCAATTTTTCAGGGTATCAGAAAGGGGCAAATCTGACTATGAAAAGGGCTGGGTGAAAGAAAGGAGCTAGGATGTTGTAGATCGCTTAGTTTTGTTTAACCTCTGAAAAGTGGTAGAATAAACCATCAGGCTTTCTAGAAGCACTCAGTGGAAAACTAAGGTGATGAGCAATTATTGTGGATGCCTGCAGAGCAAACAGCATCAAAACAACCTTCATTCTTCCAGTGATGGAGTAAAAGAAGAAGTCAGCATCGTAGCTCTTAAGTTATGCAATTTAATTGATATTTATGCAATGGGAGATTCTTGTAGGGAGACAGGCCTAAATAAAGCCTAAGGTGCAAAATTAGGTAAGAATATTGCTACAGGGACTGTAGCGGTAGGACAAGGGGGAATAGGTTTAAACTTACACAGAGGAAGTTCGGGTTAAATATAAGGAAGAAGTTCTTTACTGTGAGGGTGGTGAGGCAGTGGCACAGGTTGCCCAGAGAAGTGGTAAATGTTCCATCCCTGGCAGTGTGCAAGGCCAGGTTGGACAGAGCCTTGGGCAGCATCGTCTAGTGTGAGGCATCCCTGCCCATGGCAGGGGGGTTGGAACTGAATGATCTTGTGGTCCTTTCCAGCCCAAACCATTCTGTGATTCTGTGATAAGGTTCATCACAAATCCTGATTTATTTTTCTATGTCTTTGTTGTTAATCTTGGATAGAATAAATTATGGGTTTACTGTGATCAAAGATGAGACAGAGCTGGGAGCGGTGGTGTGTACAATTTGAAGGAAAGCTTGCAATTCAAAATGATGTAGTTAAACCAGAGAAATGAACTGGAGAGAAATAAAAATGCATTTCAATGAGGACAAAGTCCCAGGTTTTCTACTTTCACAGGATGTGAAAGATACACTTACATAACAGTTTGTGGGAGAAGGAGCTGGCTGTAGTGAATCACCAGCTTATTCATCAACAGCTTCACAATGTTGTTTAAAAAAGCATCGCATTGGGATATGTAGAAGAAAGAGTGTCTGATAGGAAATAATCTGTTACCAGTTTAGCAACTGGAAGAGACAGTGTAATTTAAATTATGGTGCTTTCAGTGGAATCCAGGCTGTTGGAGGGGGTCTGGAGGAATGTACCTAAACTGCCATTAGCTAACAAATAATCTGTCTGAAGGAAAAGGAGATGTAATGGTTTTCACATACTGAAAGGCTTCTCCGAGGAGAAGCAGAATAATCCATTCACCAAAAGGAGGGTTTAGAGTAGAATGAGCGATGGAAAAACTGCACTGGTGAAGGTTTATTTTAAGAATTTGAAAAGAAACGCTTTGTTCTGCTGAGGATAAGGTACTGAAGTAGCGTGCTTATGGAGACTCTCGCATCTCTGTGATCGGAGATCGCTATGGCAGTGTTCTCAAAGATAATTCGGCCTTGGTCACAGAGATCAGTGATCTTCTCAGATTTCTGCTATCATTTTGCCATGATTTTGCTGAGCAAGATATGGTACAAAGTGTGGTACCATCTCTGTCTGCCACTATCTGAGCAGTCTTGCAGGATGCACAGGAGGATGTGCAGAAGACAGGGCATTGGTCATTGTTGCTCTGTGCTCTTTCAGCACACTAGGAGAGGCTTGGGCTCAGCTAAAGAAGAGTCTAGCTGATGAAGCAGAGGTTCACCTCAAATTCTCTTCCAAGGTAAGTAGTTGTTCCTTTTTGCAAAGATTTTTGCCCTGTCATTGATGTGGATCTCCCTTCAGTGCTTGTTAGTGGGGAAAATACACATACATAGGGTACAAATGTAGAATTGATGAACAAATTTACTGAAACTCTGTCCATGCTTCTGCGAGAATCCTGAGTTATTTAACTTACCTGATCAGTAAGTTAAAACACATCCAACCTTCATTTTTCATTTAAAAAGAAAGAAAAAAGGGAAACTGATCCTAGAGATTATTCACTTAGGGCAATGTGTTCCAGTAAATTTACTTAGAGCTCATACAGATTATTTCCTTAGAGGAAGAAATGAAAAATAATGTTTGACTTCTCAACAAGAATCTACTGTATCTGTTTGGAAGGAAGGGAACCAGGACTCTGACTTCTTCATATCATTAGCCTTTGTGAAAAGTGCATTGGGAACTTCATGTTATTTTTGGATCTTCTGTCAAGTGATCCCCAAGGAGATTTCTGGTTCAAATTATGGTATTTAACTGTTTTTTTTCCACCACATGTGACACATTCTTGCATCCTGTCACATTCTGTTAACCTCTGTGGGTGATCAAGTTCAGTACAGTGGTAGATATCTCAGTACAACAGCCATGTTCTGGAGGAAAATTATAGCTCTGCACTGTTTGTAAGTGATTATGCAGAGGTTACTCAGGCAACCAGCCGCTGCCTTGGTAACCCAGTGCTCTGCTTCAAACTTCTACTTCAGAGCTGTAATTAGTGAAATACTTTTTGCTCCCCGTTGTGTTCCTGTATTGTTTTCCAAGGGGAAGAAATGCAGCCTGGAGTGGAGTATGCAGGGAGGGAGGCAATGGATAGGGGTCCTTCATTTTTTTCTAAAACTCTGCACAGAAACTCCTGTAGCATCATCTGAACTCTCCCCACTGTTTCCAGTGTACCTGCTTTGGGAATTCCTAATTCTTTCTTTTGTTAATAGAATATGATTTTAAACACATTGATTATTGCTATTACTTTCAGATAAGTTTTTCTTAGAAGTAGTAGTTATATTTCTCATTGATATTCGAACAAAACCAGTCAGTGCAGTGCAGAGCACACCAAGAGTATTCAAACACAAACACCAGCCTTGAAGACACTGAACATGTTTGTGGCAGTCCTTCATAGTACTGTTACACTGGGGGTCACAGGTGACAGCACTTTTATGGCACTTGGAGCAAGTCCAGAGGAGGCCACAAGGATGATCAGGGGCTGGAGCACCTTCCATATGAAGACAGACTGAGAAAGTTGGGGCTATTCAGCCTGGAGAAGAGAAGCTGCATGGAGACCTCAGGGCAGTTTCCAGTGTCTGAAGGGGGTTACAAGGATGCTGGCAAGGCCCCCTTCTTCAGGGACTGTAGCGATAGGACAAGGGGTGATGGGTTCAAACTGAAACAGGGGAAGTTCAGGTTAGTTATAAGGAAGAAATTCTTTACTGTGAGAGTGCTGAGGCGCTGGCAAAGGGTGCCCAGAGAAGCTGTGGCTGCCCCATCCCTGGCAGTGTTCAAGGCCAGGTTGGATGTGGCTTGAAGCAGCCTGGTCTAGTGGAAAGTGTCCATGCCCATGGCAGGGGGGTTCGAACTGGATGAGCTTTAAGGTCCTTTCCAACCCAAGCCGTTTTATAATTCTGTGAAACATAAAATATTATTACACTGCTAATGCCTCTAGATACTGGCATGGCACGTGTATATATATACATGCACACGTGGAATCCTCCAAGAAGGCTGTCATGGAGGTGAAGCTTTTCTCCAGTTATGTGATTATCCCTTAGTGAGCTCTAGGAGGTGAGTTCTGCTGGAAGAGAAGGTGCACAGGTGTTTTACTGTTGAACTCATGATGGGCTGGCCTGGATATGACGGTGTGTTACCCCCATTCTGGAAATAGTACTGATGGAGCAAAGGGAAAAAATAAGTAATTGTGAAATCAGAATTGATTTCACAAACTCAGGTGGTTTGTTTCTCCAGCATCTAATACTGTGATTAAACCCATGCCTCTGTCTTTCTGCCTAAGTCTCTACCATACTGGTACAGAGATACATGATCTCTGTCCTGTACTTATTTTAGCAAACTTCCTAACTTCTTTTAACAAACTTCTTGAGATTTCAAGTCCTCTTTTGCATCTCACCCCTTCAGTGATGGGTGTCAGAGTTGTCTGTATACACTGGTGCTTTAAATTTCTTCATCTTAGGAAAGTAGTTTATGTTTTTTTCATCTGTTGCATGGATTTGTAAGTCTTGAAGTGAGATCTGCTAGCAAAAATATAAAAAGAATATAAATGGCCAACTATGATACAACATTCAAAAGCCAGGGTCATTCACATGTGGAGTCTATTTTGATAGCTTATATTAACCTCTTGAAAGATGGAAAGTCAAGCAAGATGATGATAGAGGAAAGATGACTGCCTTCACTGAGAATCCACCTCTTTGATTTCCAAAACATAAAACTGGAGAAAGCAGTTGCCTTGTTTCTATTTTGAGCCTTTTGGTAATGCATTTCCCATCTTTATGAGGGTCTCAGAATTTCATGCCCCATTATAAACTGTGGGAAATAAACTAATTTCGTTACTGTCTATTAGGCAGTAGAAATAGCAGTGAAATGCCCTCCTTTTTGGTGTGTCCCCAGCCCTGGGGACTTTAATAAGGGTTTTCACAGAAATGCCTACTTATGTCAGATAAGTCAGATTGCTGCTTCTTCCACTCAGGATGACTGACTCATGTTGGGCTGTTTACCCAGGTTAATCCAGTTATTAATGAAGCAGTCTGAAAGGCACACAGACTGCTTAGCTACTTTGAACTCAGTTGGGCACAGACTCAATCATAATATATTGCTTCTGTAGTTTACTGAAGCCACTCTGAATTTCTCTGTCCTTGTTTTGTTGAGCACTGACAATGTTCCTGGTACAGCTATCGATTTGTTCCTGTGCTCTTAAGAGAGCTCATGTAACCATGCTGGACCACCAAGTTGTGAACAGGTCTATATTAGCTGGCCTAGAGCCATCTTGATGAGACTGTCATCTAAACATTGTCCAGAATCTTCTAGTGCAACCTTCCCAGTCAGAGCTAGAACTATCACTCCAGTGGATCACAGCTACATCTCTGTCTAGCAGGGATTTCACCACCCCTCTGGTGAACCTGTTCCAGTTCCCAGCTACCAATTTGGTGACTTTTTTCTTCAAATTACACTCAGCCTGAACCTCCCAAAGCTCAGTTGTCTGTTTTGACATTGCCTGGCCCTGATACCCTTGCGTTTGACCTTCTGTAGGCCATATTAGATCACCATGGTGCCAGTCTTCATCTGCCCAAACAAGCTCTTCTTTAGGCTAGTTTAACCTCTCTAGGATGTGTGCTGTAGGGCGCGGCTTTCTTTGTAGCCTCTCTTCATTAAAAGACTACACTAAGCTGGAACGAATTTTCGTCCTCCATTAAAATAGCACCAGGAAAAGGCCAAAAATACTTACTTTCAGGGACTATTTGATACTACTCCACTGTGGGCCATGTTAGGTGATTGTGGACCCAAATCATCTGCATTGACAGTCAAACATCCCCACAGGAGGAACAGTAGGAGAGTTTGGTTGTTTCTGGGGAGGTGAAATATCTGTATCCCTTCAGAGCACTTTTCCTAGCACATTTCTGTGTATGAGAAGGCCAAAGAGCAGTATGATACAAACTCTATCAGAGCTCAGTATTACTGTCAGGTCCTGCTTGTAGGAGATAAGTCACATTGGTGACCTTGATGGATCTCTGCTGAGTTCATTTCAGTGGTTTCTTGCTACCATATTCAGGCTTCTCTTTAGGCTCCCTCATACTTGACAGAAGTAAATAAAACATGTCCTTATTGGATCTCTTTTCACTGCACAAGAAACACAGGCGTGTATAATGGCAACTGTTTCACCTTATGGCAGTCAGGGTTAGCAGTTTGGTTTGTGTAACTTAAGGGGTTTAAGCAAGGTGTATTAGGCCAGAATCAGAGCACCTCAAGTAGTGCTCCAGACATTGCCTGCAGTTTGAACTTAAGTGAGAAGAGAGAACAGGGAGAGAGGAAGACAAAATTTCATCGTTTTGCTCCCTTCAGCCAGACTCTTCTCAGTGGTACCAGGCAATAGTACATGTGGCAGTGGGTATAAACTAAACCACCAAAAGTTCCACATGAGCATGAGGAAGAATTCCTTTTTTCTGTAAGGGTGACTGAGCACTGGGATAGGATGCCCAGAGAGGTTGTGGAGTGCGCTTCCCTGGAGATATTCAGCAGCTGTCTGCACACAAACCTGGACAGTGTGCTCTGGGTGACCCTACCTGAGCAGGGAGGTTGAGCTAAATTTCCTCTGATGGTCCCTTCCAGCCTCAACCATTTTGTGATGTTGTGATATTGCCTTAACAGAGCTGTCCTGTGAAGAGCTAATTTTTTCAATAGCTTCACTCACAGCTCTCTTGGGGAAAAGAAGTGTTGCTGTATAGCATTGCCTTTGGCTGCAGTGTGTGTATTGCTTCCTCTTTGTCCTGAGCTCTGGTCAGCAAAACAGCTGGGAATTACTACCTGGCTCCTCATTATTGTCTTTTCTTCTTCATTTTTATTTCATTACCAGCTTCAGAGTGAGGTAGAGAAGCCACTGCTCAACTTCAGAGAGAATTTTAAGAAAGACATGAAGAAGTGTGACCACCACATTGCAGACTTACGGAAGCAGCTGGCCAGCCGCTACGCAGCAGTTGAAAAGGTGGGAGCAGAGAACAAACTGGGGAATTTGAGATACTCCTGGTTTGGACAGAAAAGCAGGTGCCCCATGAAAAGTTTCTATCCTGCCACAAAGAACCACAAAGGTTTCAATTTTGCTGGGCGCCAGATATCATTTGCTGCTTAGCCGGGAAACTGGGGGCTACAGGCAGGGTTAACACGTTACGGCTGAGGCTTTTTGTTTTATCCTCCTCTTCCCAATTTTGAGCAATATATTTCTAATGCATTTGATTAAAATGCTCCTTGCTCATGTGCATCCGGAAGCCACATCTGTGCCTTCAAAATTTAAAAATATGTTGCCTTAGAACAGCAGCAGAGTCAGACCAAAGGTGTGCATGGCTCAGTGTCATCCAGCAGAGGTGAAAAGCGGATGACTAAGGAAGGCAGGTCAGATCTGTCACAAAGCCTCTCCCAGTTCCTGTTTTCTGTGCCTCACAGCAAACAACCTCACCTAAAAAACCCAAACAGCAGCAGTACCCTCAGATCAGGGGCTAGTTTAACATGAACATCCAGCTGAGGTTGAGATTTACACCCACAGGTATAAATCTACAGGTATAAATCTTACAAACCTAGGGGAGTTATACCCACAAAAAGTGCTCTTACCAGCAGCTGGCAGGAAATGGGATACCCATGCTTCAGCTGCCCAGACACTTGTGCCAAATGGTATCCTCATGTGGTTTGCTCTTGGGTGTAAGTTGGAAAGGAAAATACCATGTTCAGTCAAGCCAGAAGGTTGTTTGGGCATTCATTAGGAATCAGAGTGCACCTGAACAAGTTTGCCTGGGGACAGAATTGTTGCAGGATACACACTGTATGTATGCAGGGAAAGTGTTTCTCTGCAAAACACTTAAGTTCTTCACAGCCATATCTGCAAAGAAACACAGTTCTCAGTAGGGGTATTGAAAAGAATGAATTGGAACCTTGAGAAGAAGGAATAAAAAAAGATAAAAGCCGTAAGATCAGAGGGCTGGAGCAGCTCTGTTCTGGGGACAGGCTGAGAGAGCTGGGCATGTTCAGCCTGGAGAAGAGAATGCTCTGGGAAGACCTCAGAGGAGCTCCCAGTGCCTAAAGGGGCCACTAGAAACCTGGAGAGAGGCTTTTGACAAAGGCCTATACAGGCAGGACAAGTGGGAATGGCTTTAATCTGCCAGAGGGGAGACTGAGGTGAGACTTATGCAGAAGTTTGACCTCATGGCAGCTTCCAGTATCTGAAGTGGGCCTAGAAGGATGCTGGAGAGGAGCTCTTCATCAGGGACTGGAGCGATAGGACAAGGGGTGGTGGGTTCAATGAAACAGGGGAAGTTCAGGTTAGACATATGTAAGAAATTCTTTACTGTGAGGGTGCTGAGGCACTGGCACAGGGTGCCCAGAGAAGCTGTGGCTGCCCCATCCCTGGCACTGTTCGAGTCTAGGCTGGAAAGGGCTTGAAGCAACCTGCTCTAGTGGAAGGTCTCCCTGCCTGTGGCAGGGGGTTAGAACTGAATGAGCTTTAAGGTCCCTTCCAAGTCACACCATTCCAGGATTTTCTGCGGTGTGCCTCAGCGCAGTTTCTCACCAGTTTGCTTTCCTGCAGCACCCTCATGCGACCTGCCGAGCCAAACGCAGTCTTTAAAACTGCAGACTGAAAAGATTCAAGTAATGCCTCAAGAGCGCAACTTGCAGGCTCGTGTGAAAACTGCAAGGTGCGAACAAAATCCAGTCATCCACATTCGGTTTAGTCACTACAGCTGGATAAAGAAAAGAGCAAATGTGGCCTCTTTTATAACAAGCCTGTGCAAAACAAGCTATTTCATGCACTTTTGTCACCCCAGCAAACAGTCAGCATGCAGATGTAGAAATTATGTTTATTTGTTAAGACACTTCAGTAATTTGGCCATATAAGTTCCCTAATGATACTGATAAATCAGGTTTTTAATTCCTGAAGAACTTTAAAGTAATTTAAATAATCAGTTGTAACCAGGCCTCAGGTTCATGATTTCTGCAGTACTAATTGCTGGTATAATGAATCCGAAGTAGCTTCTCTAAAATAAGCCTCAAAGTTTGTATTGGTATTTTCTAATAAGTGTATATTGAATCCACAAGGTATTTAAAAGTTAATTTTGTGAAATGCTTGAATTTCTTTCAACAATTTAGATCTTAAGAAGAGCAAATGTGGGGTCCTGGTGATGCTGGTTAAAACATTGAGGAGAAGCTTCAGATCTACTTCCTTTCGGAAATAGTTACTAAGATAAAAAAGTTACTAAGAAACATGAAAGTCTGATGATGCCTTTTGTACTCTGCTTTTCTAACAACCTGTGAAGAGTTCAGATGCTCTTATGATTTGTTGGTGACGACTTGTATATGGTGGTAGGACATATCTTTGATCACCACATGGTATCCTAAGAACTTGAATCCCAGTTAGGACCCAGTCTGATGCAGAGTCACTGACATCTTAGTGATAGATACTTGTGTGAAGGGGTCATAGATGGCTGAAAGAAGCTTGCAGTTCTTTTGCTCTAAAACATGTGGGTCTTTAATTACTCCAAGGCCCGGAAAGCCTTGACAGAGAGACAGAAGGATCTGGAAATGAAAACACAGCAGCTGGAGGTGAAGCTCAGCAACAAGACAGAAGAGGAAATTAAGAAGGCGAGGCGGAAGTCCACTCAGGCAGGTGAGTACCTGTGTCCATCAGTGGTGGGAGGTGAGCACAGCCCTGGGAAGGCAGGAACTAGATGGGATGCAACTGCCCATCCACCCATGTGTTTCTTGGGTTTTAATATAGTAGCTACAAAGTCCCAGTGAATCATGCTATGAAACTGTCTGGTGTTAAATCCTCTGAAGAAACGGGCTTAGTTTTCCAAGTGAGACATCACAAAATGATGATTTTGATACTTGGGGTGAGAATAGTAAAAGGAGGGTGAATTGTCCTTTTGTCCTCTGAAAGTGTGCTAACTGAATGCTTGTGAAACTTTCACAGGCAGGTTCAAAGCAACTCAGCTGAGGATGGTTTTTTTTCTTAAATCCTAGTTCCTTCCTTGTTTTTTTCCTAAATCCCAGTTACCCCCAGCTCTGTTGGTGCCTATTATGCTTCCTGTTACTTTTTCCTTAAAAGTGAACTTCTTGTCTTTTTTCCACTGCTACTCAGTGATTAAAACGATTTCTGTTCTACTTGATGTGACCTATGCATGTTTTACAGAGGCTCAAACCAATTCTACAGGATCCATCAGGAGCTTTCTTCCTTGAGATCTGTGCAACTGATACATACTAGCTGCTGAAAATTATTTTAACTATGGCTTTCATGTTTCATCCCTTCGTAGGTCCATTCCTTGGCAGAATGGTCCTTCATAGTTGTGAGGCTTTTAAAACTTCAGAATAACTGGTCTGGATTTTGAAGAGACTAGGAAGTCATTTGCAGTGTGACCAGGTGTATAGGCAATCATTTGAGGAGAAACAAAAGTTACATGTTGAGCAAATACGGGAGAGCTGAAGATTATGTGGGAGTAACCCAGAGTTTGGTGTGTCTCCCCATCGCTTCTCCCCCACTTTGTGCCACTGTTAGGGCGAGTGGCAAGGGAGGACTTGCCCCATCCCAGCAGCCAAGCCAGGGTGCCAGTGATGTGCACAGTAGCAGTATTTAGTGATCTAGCTTTGAAATGAGGCCTGCTACAAGGGGATGATAGGACCAGAGAGCTCTAGACCAGAGCCCTTCTACAATTCCACCAGTTACTGATACATTGCTTTCTGCTCTCATGCCTTGCTACTGTTCATGTTTTTAATGACTTCATGTTCCTGAATGTACAGTGGCTCAGATTCACTCAGATGGAGGATAACACCAAACCACATAGCACCTGAGGAGCTGCCTGGACTTGTCATGTTAAACTAAGCATCTCCTGTCTGGATGAATAAGCTTTTACCAGAGCTTTGTGGGGTTTGATTGCCACCCCAATTTCTAAGGCCATGAGAGACTTCCGGATGCATTTACTTCTTTGACATTTGTTTGGTCTGTGGAGTCTCTTCTTAAAGCTTGGTTTGTCTGTGGTTTAAGTATAAAGATCTTTTTGCACCTAAAAGAACAGGATGAATTTGAGCCCTGGACCTAGACATGGAACCGTTAGGGAAAGTGTAACTGAGCCTCATTTAAAGAAGAAAGAGAATTTACTAGCCAGAAAGCAGTAATCTCGAAGCCATGCCTTCTAGATTGTCCACCCACCTTCCCCTCTCTGTCACATCAGAGTCCTGCAACAAAGAAAAAACATGAAATCATTGCAGCTTATTGTGTTCCTGCCATGAGCACGGGAGGGAGCCAGAGCATCTCCAGAGGCTGGAGACTGCAACTTGGTTGAGGTTGCAAGTCAGCATCTCTTGATCTTAAGACAGGTTTAGCGTGATGCTTTGCTCCTATTTTAAATAGACATGTCCTAGAATGCAGCCTCACCTACAAAGTGCTACCCTCATTATTATTGACTTCCCATTTTAATGTTTTTTTTAGATACAACTTCCCATAACTCTTTTTAACTGAAGTTACGTATTTTCACTGTTCTGGGCATTTTGTAAACTATTACTTAATATTCATATTTTTCTTTTAAAATCTTGTCTTTCTCTCTCATTCTTTCTCACCCCAACCACCTGACAATGCATTGTGGTGAAATTTCGTTGCACATAACAAATACCATGTAACAGAACTGCCTTCAGCTCCTCCAGGACTGACCTTCCAACCTCCTGGGTCTGTCTGCAGATCCTCAGCTGTACTTACCTTCTAAGCTCCATAACACAGGCTACAGAAGACTAATGTGTTGCTATCTTGAACTTTCTAGGGGATGACTTGATGCGCTGTGTGGATCTTTACAATCAAGCTCAGTCCAAGTGGTTTGAGGAAATGGTGACTACCACTCTGGTATGTAACTGTAGCATCTTATATGTGTAATATTGCAGAATTGTAATAACCTGCAACATTCATCACACTTACACTGCAAAGCAGTGGGGAAACTTGAGTGATAAATCTCTCACTGTATTTCCTGTTCTCAGTTCTAAGAAAAACTCCTATCATTAGGGGAAGGAAGAAATAATTGTTTCTTTGTAGAAGGCATTAAATCAGTTCACGGCTTCTTAGGGGCTAGAACGCTGCAATTATCCCCAGGAAGGATGAAGGAGTGCACAAGGAAGACGTGGAAAAACATGATAAATTATTAAATCCATTTTATACACAAATGCATGTTTGTATTCCATGATTTCCCAGTTTCGTGTCTTGCCAGCTCAGCAGAGGCAAGCTTTAATTGCCTATTGTTCTATCTCTCAGAAGATAGAACAGCTCACCGTGTTCGCCCTAAGGGCATATACCTTTGGGGTTAGTCACCAAGATGCCAAGATAGCAGCTTTGATGTGCCGTAAACCTTGAAATACCTGTATTTGGCTAGAGGGCTCCTCCCTCATGTTACTCCTTACAGCCCTTCTAGATAAGAGCTGATTACTTTCAAAAGCAGGAAATAAAAATATCTTTTGCATATATTTTTCTCATTGGCTAAATACAAAACTGTAAACTCCTCCTAAAAAGAAGAGGATAATAAATTGCTCAGCATTTGGAAGTGTGTCAGTGCAATATTTAAACTGCAGTAAATAAAGGCAGATGGGTGAGCGGAAAACCAGGAGGATGTCTTCCCAAAAGCAGGACAGGAGAGAAAAAGCTGGCTGTTCCTATACATAAAGGATCTGATTCTCCTCTCCCCTCCACTGGTGGTTTCTCACTGATGCAAATGACATTGACCATCAGTGCCACTGTGTCCAAATATGGCCAGATATACATTAGCTGCATATTTGCTCCTGGAGAAGTACGACCCAGAAGTGTGCTAGTAGATGACTTAAGAGGAATTTGCTCTTTACGTGAGAGAGCAACTGGGATGTGTTGAGCTCTGCCCAGGAACAGACAAACAAGTTGAGAGTTTATGGGTGAGAATTAAGGGACAGGCTAATACGGGTGACACTGTTGTGAGTTTTTCACAGAATCCCAGAATTGTTGGGGTTGCAAGGGCCCTCTGAAGGTTATCCAGTCCAACCCCCTGCCAGGGCAGGGCCACCCAGAGCAGGTCACACAGGAACGTGCCCAGGCAGGTTTGGAATGTCTCTGGAGAGGGAAACTCCACAGCCTCCCTGGGCAGCCTGTGCCAGGGCTCTGCCAACTTCTATGGAAAGTTCTTCCTCATGTTGAGGTGAAACTTCTTGTTATTTTAGTTTATGGCCATTGCTCATCATCCTGTCGCTGGGCACCACTGAAGAGTCTGGCCCCATCCTCCTGGCACCCGCCATTGAGCTATTGATCTGCACCTGATGAGATTCCCTCTCAGTTTGCTCTTCTCTAGACTAAACAGGTCCAGCTTTTGCAATGTTTCCTCATAAGAGAGATGCTCCAGACCCCTGATCATCCTTGTGGCCTCTGCTGGTCCATCTCCAGTAGCTCCTTGTCTGTCTTGCGCTGAGGAGCCCAAAGCTGGACACAGTAAAATGTGAAGCACAAATGATTTCAGCCATGATATTTGACATCATTTTCTAGACAAGGTCTTCTGTGTTTCCAGCACTAAGGTGGTGGATGCACCATCCCTGGAGACATTCACCGTCAGGCTGGATGTGGTTCTGGGCAACCTGATCTAGTTGAAGATGTCCCTGCTTATTGCAGGGGGATTGGAGCTTTGAAGGTCCCTTCCAAATCAAACTATTCTGTGACTCTATGATTCTACAAGCTCCTTTGCTCTTCCTCCCCAGGCTGGTAGTTGACCATGTGAGGTTTTTGTGCTGTAAGGAAGAATCTGTTTCAAAAAAGATGTTTAACAATTTACAGATAGCACAGGGAAGTCAACAAAGCATTTTGCCTACTTGCATATGCTCACGTTGCTTTCCACCTTGATACCCAGTAAGTGAACATCACAAATGCCCTCTGACGGCAGTTTTAAAAGATCTGGGCCCACTGTTGTGCCTGTGAATACAGAGCTTTCTAATGGTACAGCAAAGTACATTACACTATGTTTTTAAAGGCAGACTTCCATAGCGTGCTTCTTCCACTCAGATGGACAAGGAGGGACTTAATGCAGATTTGGGGTTATAATATTAGAATCCAGGAGAAGAGGGAAGCAGAAAGAGCTGGAAGCAAGTTAGAAATCATCTGCCTTTTCAACTGAATCATTGCTGGGGTCTGCTTACTGGCAGCTGAGTGAGGTCAGACTTGTGCCAGCTCATCATGTGGTGGAAGGAAAACAGCTTTTACAGGTGTCTGGTTAGACCAAGGGCAGTAAGGTTGTACCGCTCAGCATCGTCTCCTGCTTCCACTGCAACTTCTGGAGCTAGCAACAAGGCATGCAGAGCTTCCTGCAGGAAACAGATGTCTTCTTGTTTAAAGCATCCCTAAGGATAGTGGCTTGCCTCTCTCCCTTGGTTGTCTCAGTTTTGAAGAAGTTTAGACTATATCTACTTTGTAGTTATTAGCAAATGTCATATTACAAATGAAATTAATTTCCCCATCAAATGGAATAAATATTCCCACTGCACTTAAGAATTCAGAGAAACCCAGACAAAATGGCTCAAACAGGACAGTGCCTTTTGAAGGTCAGTGATGATACCACAACATTGGACTGCTGGGTCCTGGGGCATCTAGTTTAGGTTATGCTTTGCCTAGAAAAGTTGGACAAGATGATCCTTGAGGTCCCTTCCAACGTGTTATTCTGTGGTTCTATGGTTCTTTTCTGTCATTGGGTTCAGAATGAAGGGAATTCTGTTGCTTGCTGTCTTTGATTCTCTACAAATCAGAGGGATGTGCAACCACAGAGTTCAGCTCCAAAGCATGACCCTGGAGCAGTATCACACTGACTGACGACTTTTGTGTGTCATCCCTTCTCTGGGCCTTCAAGCTCAGCTTCCAACCAAAATATGAACTTGTTTTTCTTTTGTGTCTAGGAGCTTGAGAGACTAGAAGTTGAAAGGGTGGAGATGATTCGGCAGCATCTTTGCCAGTATACACAGCTGCGGCATGAGACAGACATGTTCAACCAAAGTGTAAGTCTGCTTTTTGTTTGGTCTCTTTGGCCTTTATTGTACTTCAGCTGAGCAGAGCAGTCCCTGTCCTGATCTGACTGACCTGTATCCAAAGGAGGAGTGAAAAGTGTATGCAGTCAGCTTGTTAGTTTTTACTGCCACCCTACATTGCTGCTCCTCCAAGACTCTCTTATCGTGGTTGCATTTCGTACTTCTAGATCACAACTTCTTGTTGGGGGAGACACACTGAATTGAATAACACATGGACATCATGAGCTATTATTAGTTCTCCCAGCAAGATGCACTATTCCTGAGCTGGTCTATTCTTGCAAGGAAGGTGGTAAATGGTTGGGAGAGGGAATGTATAGTTGGGAGAGGGAATGTATATTTTTTTTTCTTATTAAAAAACTGGCTAGTTTTCAAATACGAAAATGGGGGGGCTGTTTGCTGACCACAGTACATGGTTGTATTTGGTGTAAGGTACAGATTGCAGAACAGGAGGCAGAGACCATCTGGCTAGTGCCTGCCATAGGAAGCCTGTCTCTGCTTGATGTTAAAAGTCAGTGTCTTTGCTTCCTGCTGTGAGGCTTCACATTCAGATGTGACTGTTGTCCACTAAGTCATGTGTACCTGCAGTTCTCACTTGTCTGCAAATGCAATATAGGTGTGCCTGTAGCTGCTCTATGCTTCAGAGCAATGATTGCCTCTACTTGAAATGTGCCCTTGACATTTTGATTCTTGTTTTGTTCATTTTAGACAGTAGAGCTCGTGGATCAATTGCTTCGGAAAGTGGATCCTGCCAAAGACAGGGAACTGTGGGTAAAAGAACACAAAACTGGAGATATCCGACCTGTGGACATGGAAATATAGACTGATCTTTAATTGTATGTCATGAGTCCACTGAATTAACCCAGCTAATGTTTGCTTTATAAGGGTCAGAAGAGCATAGGGAAAAGGTTGTTCCACTACCAGACACCTTGTAATTTATGCCTGTACAGGCCATCTCTGTTACATTTAGTCATAAAAATGGTCCTCATTGTGCTAAGCCTTAAGCACCAGACATTCCAGGATGAAGAAACCAGATGTGTGCTTCCCACCAGAGGTTCCCAATTGCACGCAGCTTCCAGAAGAAATCTGCTTTCTGGTACAAGGAGAGCTCTGTTCTTCAGTGACTTTGTGCTACATCCCTTGCATGACTATCTTTATACAGTATGTTAGAACAACCATGCAGTGAGCCTCTGGCCAGCAAGTGAATAACTGAACATGATGCAGGAGGCAAGGAAGTCCTGATCATGAATCCCAGGTCTGTCACTGACTACTTTCATGGCTATAGGCAAGTCAATTAACTTTTCCAGTTCCCCCATCTATAAAACATGTATCCTGCAGCAGTGTTGTGCAAATACATTTATTTCATACAGTTTCCCACCAAGGCCCTTCTCCCAATATCTATGGAGAAGAGTCCTGTTCTTCCTGTTTTACACTCCCTCTCAGGGATACATAAACCCATTGTCATCATGATTTCTGTTCCAGGCCAATCAGTAAGGTTGAAAGTGTTACTAGCACTGTTATTTATAAGGAAAGACTTGGTTGTGCTATACCTACCTCATTAGCTGTCTGAGTGCCCTCAGTGACAGAAAGAGGTTACATACCAAGGAATAAACGAGATACTCAAAACCTTTCCTGCTTATGCAAGATGTTTTCTCACAAAATCTCCTTCAAGACAGCCCTCTAACATTTGATTTAGGATCCAGGTTTAAATTGCCCTTTGTTGGTTCCTTCAGGTGAATATCACAGCCTTTAGGTATCTTTAATTGCCAAGTTTTTCCAGCTAAATTGTGGGGTTTCTCTTTTAAGGGCCTGATTTTCAAAGATGCCATGAATCTGTGATGCTAGATTGCATTAAGTATAGGAGATGTAGGTGCCCAGCGCTTCTGCACCAGCTGATTCTTAACCTTAGGCTTTTCCTTTGTTATCTTTAACACAAACTACCAAAAATGTAACACTGCTCCTGGCACATAATATTCTCTAATTTGGAGACTGGCTTTGAAAAGGTTTTTGAAAATTCATTTTCTTTTCTTGCTGACATTTCTGAGTAACTGTTCACTGTTGCTGGTAATACAGTTTTCAGCATTTCATACAATGCCAAGATTCTTGCTTTAGATCCGAAACCTTGATTCTCACCACTGTGGCCTTTACTGTGTTGCTATCTACAATTTCCCAAACAGTACTACGCCATTTGATCCACTTCACCTCATTGTTTCCATCATTTTCACCCCAGCACCAAAATTGCATCCTTTTGTTCTACTGCTATTGGGTTTTATTCACCAGCTTCTGAATGTTGTGATTGGATCATTGAAAATTAATATTCCCCATTACAAATTCAAGCTGAACACAGAGAAGTCTCATCTGAAACACATATTTAATAATGGTGCAGTGATTATTTTCCTGGTTTTGTTATTTCAATCTGAATTCTACTACATTTTACCACTGTTCTCTTTTTCTCAACCATCTCTTTACAAGTATAGATTCATTCTTGTCTTGAAAAACGCTTCTACAACCCACATCTCTGCTGAATCTTTACCCTTTATAAACCTTTGCACGTTAGCAAGTGCAGTGCCATGACCACTGCATGCTCAGGATCACTGTTCCTCGTGTGACACCTCCAGACACACTTCTGAATTTGTGACTACTGTTTTATTCTCGGTGTTGGAAGCATCCAGCACAGTTATGTGAGACTCTCCTAAGTTCCTGCCAAGACCATTGCAGTACAAATGAAACGTGGTTTGTGTCACACAGTCCCTGAACTCAGTAGAGTACATACTCTTCCCCAGATTCCTCTTCTGCTGCTCAAGCAGGGATGTTTTGTGATGATGTCTTTTACGGTCTTCCTGCTGATTGACTCTCTGTCTTATTCATTTTGTCATACCAATGATACTTCTCCTATCTCTACCATGCACTTTGGAGGACAGGCACTTTTCTTTTTATTAAACCACAGGGGCAGGGTGAGCTTTCAAAACTTCAATGGCCAAAAATAACTGGAGTACTTTAGAGCTGCATCTCAGGTGGACCCCTGTGTTCTAAGCTCTATTGTAAATCAGCAATCTTGATGCCACCTCACCACAATCTTGTTTTGATTGCAAAACCAAGCTAGTTGTGCACTTTATACAGGATTCTCCTTAAAAATACCTGAAATAATCTGTTACCAATTACACTTTTCCTCTTTACAGATGTTTTTTATTTTATCTATTTTGGACTGGAAATACTGTCCATTAGCACAGGTATCTGTGAGGACAAAAGAGTATTTTGGTTCCTCCACTAAGTTGTATTTAAGCTGCTGTCATTTCTCAGTTGTCTTTTCTGGTAGCTGCTTTTTTCCCTTTTGTTTTATTTCCAGACAGTTCTCCTACTTCTTGGTTTTGGTCCATTTGAAATGTTGCGGGCATGCATGAGCTGCACAGAATGATCATTCTTTTGATGGAGATTGTCTCCCTTTTTCACTTTGATAACCTGAGGAGAGCACTTGTACCTGGCTATTAATCTTTACTGGGCCCAGCAAACTCTCAGGCAGTGCTGCTCTGCAGTGCTTTCTCTAAAACAAGACATTCATCTGTAATAGGTGGAAGTGTTAGGGAAGTTTTGCTGTTGCTCAGACAGTTTGCAGCTTATTTCCTGCAAAAGTTGATACTCCCTTTTGATATGAACTGCAGACTGTAGGATCAATGTTACCTGGCTCATCCATTTCTCTGGCTGATGGATCCTGGACAATGGCATGCCTTACAAGTCAGGGATTGCTGGAGCCCCTGTGCTTCTGAATGGACGTCATCCTCAAAGAAGATGGTGGCATATTTGAGGATATGGACACCTGCCCTTGTGTTCGTTCCTTACAGCGTAACTTTGGGAGTCACAGCATTGCTCAGTTAATCTTCCACTAAGTTGCAAAAACGCAGTTGAACCCTCATGCAATTGGTCATCATAAACAGCTTCTCCGGAGCAATATTCAGCTTTGTGTTATAGTAACAAAACTAGCATATGGAAAGCATGATGTTGCAATGTAACTGATAAATAGGAATAGCAAAGTAAGCCTTTTACCTTCGTAAGTACAGAGCTTAAGCATCACCCCATGTTGCCTGGCAGGTAGGCTCACACACTTCATCCAAGTTTTTAGTATTTTAGTTACTACATGAAAAATTCTGTTGAGTGACAAGGCTGGTTTACATCTTCAGATGGCCTGTGGTCACAGAGCAGAAGGTGAGCTTTTGGTTAGTGGTGTGCACTTACAGCTGAAGAGGTACAGTCAGTGGGAATTGTTTGTGGTTTGTTCTTTTCTGGGAGTTATGCTTGCCAGGGTTTTTGTTGAAGCCACCTATATACTGTGGCACTTGCTCTTTGTCTAACCAATGCTGTCACATACTTGTGCTCTCAAACCTCTGGCTTCCTGATGATCTTTATTTCAGCCAGTGCCTTTTGGCCCTTGTATGTGAACAAAAAGGCTTTATGAATTCCCGTGGCTTTGAATCCACTGGGTGTGCTGGCTCTTGTGCCAGAGCTGGTGAGGTTTTTACCATCTGTATCTTCAGATACCGTGCAGAATGTGAATTTTATTCATAATCCACACCAGCCCACATATGTCTTCAAAGACATCTCCTGGCACAGCTTACTCAACAGAGAGTCCTTGTTGGAAGTTTTTCTCTAAGGTATTCTTTCAGCTTATTTTCTAACAGAACTCACTCTGGATCCAATGCTGTTAGCTGATTCCTGTTGGAGTTGCTGAGCTGAAAGCAAGGAGTCCTTTACCACGTGAGCCAGATGCACTTGCCTCCCATCACTGTCAAGATTCCGGTTGCTTTTATAGAGCAACATCAAAAAAGGCTTTCCAGCAGATTTTCAGTCTGCTCCAGATTCACTCACATTTATAAATTACTTCTGTGTGCTGAACATCTTTTGAAAGACTTCAGTTGTTCCCTTATGGGAATGTTATTTTGTTATTTGACACTGGGATCTTTAGAGATAACTTTATATTTTTTCTTTTTTAAATATCATAACAGCAGTGCAAGTCATAAGGAAATCCCTGTTACATTTCTAGAATACTTTTCCCCTTCTTGCAGCCCTGCCTGAGCTGCTGTGGGGTAGCTCTGCTCCCCCTCGTGTTGCACACTTACAACAAACATTGAAATCGTGCTTCTTTTTGTGCATAACAGGCAGCATGCAAAGTTGTGCTCTGGTTTCTTTAGCCTTCATGCATCTGTGCAGTTTAATGTTGAAGAATTAGATGCTTTTTGCTTAACTGACAGCCTCATGCTATAATGTCAGTCTGTATAGTTGCATTGTGACAGTGAACTGCACTCAGATCAACCCTTTTTCCTTGAGAGGAGTTTTCTGTAAAGTATTCACAGGGAACTTTTACGTGCTCAGTAGCACTCAGAATTTTCTCAGAACCTCTTTAAATTTGTCCCTGTTTTAATGTCATCATTGAAATATTTGCTGCAAGTTAGACTCTTTATGTAAAAATGTGCAGTCTTCTTTCCACCTGCTCTTTGGAAGTGCTTGGCACTCCGAGATTTTTTGGAACACAACAAGGATGTAGGTGATAAAAGACTTTGAAAATCAGGCTAACAAATAGAAATGCACAAGCCTTTTTTGGGGTTTGTTGTTTTGTTTTTTTTTCCTTAGTCATTGAATACATATACAAGGTAAACAATAAGAAATGGGAACCTCAGATACTTACTGTATAAGACCTAGCTGCTGTACATGCAGTTCCCAGGCATTCCATGAGTGACCCTGTGTCAGGCTGTAGTAGGAACACAGCTCTAGAGCATGGTCCTACAGCTTACCTTCTGATGCAGCTGTAAAAGCCCAAATCAAAAATTAAGTTAAAAAGTAGCTTTGCTCATCTATTTCTTCAGTCATGCACAGGGAGAAAAAGAACACTGCTCACCCAGGTGGGTCCTTCACTATCAAGCACCTTAAGGAATCCAGACCAGCACCTTGAAGGTCCCCCTGGAATGAGTAGTGTGACTTGGTGGTGTGATCAATTAACTGTTTTCTTCTGAATTGCAAACATGCTTGCTATTTCATAGTAGCTAGTGTGCTTTTCAGTGCTAGTGCAGCCTGCTGGGTCTGTTGCCAGAGATGGCACAGTCTGGTGTCCTGGAGGCAGTCCTGGTCACCCTTAACCTTTTGCACTTCATGAGAACTGGGGCTTCAAAAGACAGTATCAAAAAGACAGCTTTAAAATGAGCTTTCTTGACCACTTTCTGGAAAATCTAGGCTTTTTGCTACTCAGCATGTGTTGAAATAGGAGAATGAGATCCCAGAAGTTGCTGAAGGATCGCTGTGGATTGTTCTTGGTTTGTATGCATCCCCCTGTATTCATACGGTGGTAGGGAATGGCTGCTGAGCATCCTTCTTTGCACAGCAGAACTGTCTGACGTTCTGCCAGAGGAGCCTCCTGGTCACATTGAACTTAACCAGGTGGCAATAGAGAGAGGCAGATTCAAATTAAAACCAGACACATAGAGCAGGAAAATCTTTAGCTGCCCCAGTGGCATTCGAGCTTCTGGACACAAGGCATTTGTCTCCCTTATGCTCTGGTGAGTCAGTCCATTAACAGGCTCCTCACACTCTGAACTCTGCTTAGCACATTAAAAGCAGTGATGAAACATTTCCTAGTATCTGTTGCTTGATACAGGGCTCTCCAAGTAGCACCTAGTTGTGCCAGTAGGAGACAAGTATGTGGCAATCCCACCCTGGTACTACAGTATGGTTTCTGGCATCAAAGTGCTATGATGTCCTGTGCCCTTGCACTGAACTGACTGTAAGTCTGACACAGGCATGTCAAGCCTGGTGTGCAGGTATCCTCCAGGAGCTTGGAGCACATCATCTTTCTTGGTGATAAAGTCTTTCCTAACAGCCAATCCTTGTATTTTCCTGAGAAGCACTATTGTATAAATAACATTCACAACTTTTTGTCTTATAGATCTTACTCATATAAATGTGCATCTTTCAATTCTTATTTTGAACTCTTCATTGGTACTGTAGCCAACCCTCTAACACTGAGATACACCAGTTTTGATCTTTAATATTGACTGACCAAACTTCATACTTTTGGATATTTTCTGAGAATGGTAAGTGCATGCTTTTGGAAGGGGTTATTTTGTTTTTCCTTCTGGATTTTTCTTACCAGCCCCTGGGTTTGGAAGTGCAATGCCTCCTTTTTGTGCTAGTCACAGTTTAGTTTTAATTCCTGGACAGTTTTTTTCTGAAGGGACCAACAGATAGCACAATTTGTCTTCAATTTTTAGTCCCATTTCCTCAAGGCAGAAACCTTTTGTGCCTAATGATGCAATTGATGATAAGAATTGTACATGGATAAAAGTTTTCCATAGACTAATAAAAACAAGTGTTACCACATAATAATTACAGATTAAAACAAAACAGGAAAAATATTTATTTGAAGTATTCAGATTTAATTCCCTCAACTTACATTAAGTTGAACTACTTCAGGTGTAACAGACAAACTCAGTGGATATTCAGAACAAAAGCTTTTAGCTGCTGTATTCAGGTTCAGTGAGTAGATAGACTGTAATTCTCAATATATGCAGTCTTTCGGGGTTACTGATTTAACAAACAACTGAGTCACAGCTTGTATCACAACCTGACTAAAATTCTGCTAGTAATTCCCCTTGAAGTGCCTCTTTAAATTGTATCTGCCACAAGCATGTAGAATACACAGATTCACCCTGTAAATTCCCAAAACTCAGGAGCAGCCAGTTTGCACAGATCTGTGCAGGATTCTCAAAGCTCCTTCCTTGCTCTGCGCTCTGCACTCCTTTTAGAAAAGGACATCCACATATCCAGTAGACCTGGCTTTATCTCAGTGATCATTTACTGTCCAGCACAGTCATTCTAAATTCTCAGTGCTGAAAATGGAGTTGGAAATGTTAAGACTTAGAAGGAATTCCATTGAAGGAGTTGCTAACCTCATTTTCTGACACACCATTCAGTAGAGTAAGCAGAAAATTCTGCATAAAAATAGTTAAGTGCATTTGGGGCCTAAATAGGCCTTTCTTGTGTAAAATCAAAACAACCTGACTTTTT